GGACTAATGGTAGTCCCCAAGAATGCCTGTTTCACAAAGCGCATCACTCTCGGCCGCGTATTCCCTGATCGAAAACGAATTAACTTACCTACCAACAAGTGCCCTGGTCTCAGCAATACGACGTTCAACTCTACACTGCCAAGCTGGTACAGTAGATTTAGTTCTAGTAGTATTGACATTTTCAACTATATTCACACCAGCTACTCGACAAACTGCAACAGCCGCAAAGTATAGAATAGAATGTGTATCACCAAAATTTTCGCCAACGCCAACCAACGCTAAATTTCGTTTATGAATGGGCAAACGGTATAACCGGGGTCTATTATTCCAATTTACATACCGGTATTCCAGAATCGCATCCTCCAAAGCGCTACTTGTCCTATCATTGTATTGGGTACTTACAGATATAACTTTACTCTCCACTAATTCATCAACAGCATTAGTATGTGATACCTACTGAGGTGTGCTGTTAGCTACCAAACCCACATTGTGTGACGAAGAAGGGATAATCAAGCTATTCCGTATGGTAGAGCGTATCCTCTCAAGTACTTTATCATCCAGCAGGTGACAGCGCTGTATAGCTCCTACACGTAACACGGTACGCAGTAAGGTTTGTTCCCAGTTCTGTAGCCCGATAATATGGCATGACATTCTCAATGATAGGATTTGTCCACTTCATGCGGCGCACATCACCACCGGTAGCGGGGACCCTATTCGAGGTCAGTAGTCCTCGGGATCCTAAGCAGATTGGTGGCTGGCCTCTCCCCTGCATACTACAGGGTTTGGCGACGTCGGCGGAGAGAAAAACTCGTCGCTTGAAGGCGAGCTCGACGCCTCATCCACGACCGGAACTTCCGGTTTCCGGGGACGGCCAGACGGAGCGGAGCGACGAGTCCGGGGATGTTATTAGTGCTCTTGATCTAGTTCTAGTAATAATTCTTCAGTCGAATTTCTTAGGTGGAATAACACTTTTATGTATTTTGACATGACGTTAGACGCCATGTCTTACTATACTGTATCTATGTTATTATGTTATGTTATATTATTGTTATTGTTATTCTCTTTATTTCATTAAATATACGTATAAATTACATTTTAAATATATTTATATACAAAAAAAAAACATTTAAAAATATAAAAAATAGTGTCCCATCGGTATCGGGTCGGCCCCTGAAGATGTTGGTCGAGGCTCTTAGCAACTAATCCATGGGTCGATATGACTATCGGTACAACGATTGCCGAATCAACATCCCACATGTCGACAATCCCGTGGGCCAAATCCAAATACTTTACTTGTTTATCTTTTTCAGCATTTAAGAAATTGTCGCCATGTGGAATGGTAATGTCAACAATCATTGCTCGGCGCTCTAATCGGTCTATTATCACTATATCAGGTTTATTGGCAATAATAGTCCTGTCAGTGATAATAGGGCGATCCCAGTACAACGTTGCACGACCATTTTCAAGAACTTGGTCAGGCACATATTTGTAGTACGGTAACTCCACAGTTACAAGGTTATACTTGAGAGCAAGTTGCTGATGAACTATCCTGGCCACTTGGTTATGCATATGCAAGAACTCGCAGTTGGCAAGACGAGAACAACCGAAAATTATATGTTTGAGGCTTTCATCAGGACAATGACATGCCCGACAAATGTCTATTGTGCCGTCCTTCAGGATATACTTCCGATAATTATTCGTCATAACAACTTTATCAGTAATTGCAAAGACAAAACCTTCCGTTTCCCCGAAGAGGTCACCGAATCGTAGCCAGAATACAGACGCTAGTTGGTCTACCTCAGGCCTGTTCAAGGCCCGATAAAAACGCATATGGATAAGCAGAGAGCTGAATGGACATTCAGCTCTCTGCCCATCCATATCTCCTTACGATCAGTAATGTTGAGTACTGCAAATTTGCGCCAGTCCCCTTTACCTAGACAAAGCGGAGTGAGTCCTTTATCAACTGCTACTACATCCTTATGCATATCCACATCAACAGACAGGAAGTAATTCCTGAGGTTACATATCTCACGATTGTGGAGGGTCTTAGCATTTAGAAAACCACGACCACCACATCATGTTCGAAGAATATATAACCTCATCACCGATGAACGTGGATGATGCATTCGGTACGCAGTAAGCAATGTACGAACTCTTCTATCCAGGGTATCTAGTTCAGTCTGAGTCCATCTAAGTATGCCAGAAGAGTAGGTTAGAACTGGTATGACCCAATCATTATGGGCTCTCACCTTATTACCACCTGACAAAAGACTATTTAATACTTTTTTCAGGCGTTCCTGTAACGATTGTTTCATAGTCAACTCATTAACACCTAACGCCTGTGACATACCCAGATATTTGTATGTTTGTGCATGGAATCTGAGAGTTCCAACCTATCAGACTCCACAAACCTGCCTCTTTTTACATGCATGATTGCACACTTATCTACACCAAATTCCATCCTCATACATTTACTAGTTTTAGTTATTTCTAGTAAATTTAACAGTACGGAATTACTGGAAGCTAACAGTTTTAAGTCATCCATGTAAAGGAGATGGGATATAACCTTACCACCTCTCTGCAAACGATAGCCTAGCCCTGAACCCTCCAACATAGTGCTGAGAGGATTCAAAGCCAAGCAAAACCACAAGGGACTTAAACTATCACCCTGAAATATACCCCGCTTAATCATTATGTATTCGCCATCGCCTTGAGATTGTCGACATCCTGGATAGCAAAGAACCGTTCTCCATGTCTCCATCTCCATACATGTCTCCATGAAAGTGCATGGAGTTGTATCTTTTTATAATCTATCCAACATGTCACCAGATCTTTTCGGTTACGGCGAACTTGTTGGTTAACAGTCATGTCAACAATAAGGAGCTCTTTAGTGCCAGAGTGAGACATAATAGAGTTTTTCATAAAATCAGATGTTCTTCACTCTCAGGATGGACGTTAGTAATTTATATAACGTCGGAAGACACGTTATTGGCCTATAATTTTTAGAATCCGTGGCGCTACCAGATTTATAGACCAGGTGAGTTACTCCCATAGTCATAAAAGATGGAAGCGAACCCGATTCTAAGCATGATTGAAAATGATACAAGATACAACAAGATGATAAACAACATTTATTGTATGTTGTTGGTTGATAGTTTTGGGAAATCAATTTTGAATACATAGATTCACATAGGGGCACATAAATCTGCTGTATCTCCATTTCTTTTAAAAGCGCCTAAGCGTGTTTCTACAAAATAATAGTATGTATTTGGATAACGGTATTATTGGTGTCATGCTATTTCCTTGTCGACAAGGCCTTAGGTTTTTGAGTGACTCAAGTCACTTGATGGTGAGTGACTAAAGCTGCCCATGGAGACCTGTAAGTCAAGTCACAAGTACGGTACCTCTCTTTGAGGCCCTTACTCTTAGATTAGGAGGTAGGACTCCGCTAACCACACTCAGTCCGTGAAAAACAACAAAAAAAAATGTTTACCACTGGTTTTCTGTAAGGCCAAAGGTTGTGGTATCACTCCGGTCAAGCTGGCCAACATATGAAGAAGCATGACCGCCACGTATATTTTTAGAGTTCTTATTTTAAAAATAAAATAATTGCTAGTTATTCGAGATCTAACTTTCAATAAGGGTGCTTCTGCACAATGCAAGCACTTTCGAATGTTCCAGCGACTCGAGCATGTGTAAATAACCCGCACGTTATGTTTATATTCGTCTAGTCTAGTCTAGTCTGTTAGGCGCTCCTTACCAAAAATACAAATTTTATAGGAAGGTAGATTTTTATATTGTGGTTTCCGATGGGCTTGTTCCTGTTTAGTATTAATCTTTTTTAACTTCTAGGAGTAAAAATCAAAGTGCTTATACCAAAATTCAACTTCTATCTAATCTAACTACATCTTCAAATATAAAATATTAGTATCGATTTATGTAGCTGACTGTACTATACAATTAACATGAATCAGTCACACTTAATTGTTAGGAAAATTTATAAACTTGAAGACCTGTAATTAGCTTTCTAATACTACTCTACTGTTCATCTGTCGATTTAGCTGTAAGTCTTCCATAGAACAAATAAATAAATGAATAAATGAAATAAATTAATCAGTAAAACATCAAACTTATTAATCATTATTCTTTACGATCTTGGTTAATTATTAAATAATATATAATAGTAAAAAAAAGAAACTAACCTAGATTCGTAGCGTACATTGTGAGAATACTTGGAATCATTGACAAAGTTTTTCTTGCCTTAATATTGTTAACGAGTCTAGTTTGGCTAGTTAGTGTACCTCAAAGCTTTATTTAAAATTTGTAGCAAACCCATACTGGTTGTTTTATTTTCTGATTGGCTGATGTAGAAACCAATAGCAAGGCATGATAGAGTCGTGAAAATTTGGCGGGTAACGTATTTTTCGGCGTTATTTCATTTGTCCTTCATTTTTAGAAATAATTTTAACAGAGAGGGGTGAAGCATTACATATCAAATATACATTATAGGAAATTGATGCTATGAGTTCTAATATAAATGACAAATTTAATATTTTCGATACCTCCTAATAAAATAGCGCCTTTTGTGTAACTTTTCCTGATTCGTCAACTAGATGAAAACATTTTCCAAACGACTTCCTCGCTCCGAAGTCTTCTATGGATATTTAATTTGCCATAATTAAACATTCCTAGAACATTTTGGATTGACAAAAAAATAATTTTCAATGATTTAAAAGTATTTTTAGCTATGATCAAAAATATAGGTCAATTGTTTGTTGTTTATTTTTATATAAAAATAATTTATTTATTGCAAGCAACTTCAAGTTAGCTCTCATTGTACACTTCGGAATAAAATGTGGCAGTGGTCTGGTCTATAGTCTATGGTAGTAGTATTTGGAGGGAAACCGTCAACCTCAAATTCACTGTCTTCAACTTGGTCATTTAGTTCATAATACAAATTTGACTCGTTAACAATATTAATACATTAATACGTTGAAAATATGGCTCCAGTCGTCGGCAAGGAAAACTTAGTCAATGATTTCAACAATGTACGCATTAAGGTTAGTTTATTTTAAATGTAATATTTTGTTTAAAACTATTCCTGGAAGCCAGACTTTATTTAAATATTAATTATTTATTATTTTTCTTTATTATAGTCGCCGGTTAAAAATAGTGTTTTAACTACTCGCAACGAAAATATACATGAACCTACTATGGATGTGGAAAATGATAACAATCAGGTGGTAGAATTCGATCCACAGTTAGAACCTCTTCTACGGGACAACCCACGACGCTTCGTAATATTCCCTATTGAGTACCCTGACATCTGGGATATGTACAAGAAAGCCGAGGCTTCGTTTTGGACAGTTGAAGAAGTGGATTTGTCTAAGGTATATTACTATTCAATTTAGTTACTGTTCTAGGCGTTGTCAATCAATTCATTACTACTGTCTCTTTTAAAGTTCTAAATGAGGTAATATGATGCAATTTGCAAATGTGTCGTCTAGGATTAATTGTTAAATTTTTCACCCAGGACTTAATGGATTGGGAGACCCTCAAAGACAGTGAGAAGCACTTCATCAAGCATGTACTAGCTTTCTTTGCTGCGTCTGATGGCATAGTCAACGAGAACTTAGTAGAGAGATTCTCACAGGAAGTGCAGGTGACAGAGGCAAGGTGTTTCTACGGATTTCAAATAGCCATTGAAAATGTACACTCTGAAATGTATTCCATGCTTATTGATACTTATGTCAGAGATCCACAGGAGAGGTAAGACATAACCACTAAAATTACTTCAATAGGGTCCCTTTTTTAAGAATTACAAGGTCTTCCAGATTCAAAATCTAGATTTTTATTTAGCTAAGGAACATGTCACAAACTGACACATACATTGTATATTTTTAGGTATTCTTTTTTCTCAATACCAATAACATAATATGTTTGTGTTATGCCACTTAATCTAGTTGAGCTTGTAAATGTTACATATATGCTATACATATAAGGATGTCTTGATAAAAATTTACAAATGAAGGAATAGAGTTAAATAGTACTGAGTTCATCCAGACTATTGCATAACCTTTTTTTACAAAATATGTAACATTAATTGTTTATATTCAGTTCTTAGATTTCCTTAAATATATAATATGTTGCTAAATGGGCAATGTTTCTTTGGCAGGGATTTCCTCTTTAATGCAGTTGAGACACTACCATGCGTAAAGAAGAAGGCTGACTGGGCATTAGAGTGGATCGCAAGTAAGACAGCCACATTCGGAGAACGCATTATTGCATTTGCTGCTGTTGAAGGTATATTCTTCTCGGGCAGTTTTGCTTCAATATTCTGGCTGAAGAAGCGAGGGTTGATGCCTGGATTGACATTCAGCAATGAGCTTATATCTAGGGATGAGGTTTGTATAAATATATAAGTTAAATTAACATTAAGTATGGGAATCTAATCAAACATAATTTCTATCATGAGAAGCTTATAAGTAATTTGATGGTAAAAAACATGTCCTGTGGATGATTATTTTTGCAACAGACTTTATTTTCTGGGCCGACCTATCTAAAAGATAGTCTGCCATGATAAGGATGTTGTTATTTTTAATTGGTTACTGTGAGAACCAACTCAGTTTACTCAATTTTGTTTTGAGTCATGACTTAATAATATGCAACTTATTAGTTGCTCACTATTAGTGTTATTATTTTATTACAAACAAAGTAATACTAGTACGAGGCTGTTAAAATTTTAGTACAAAGATAAAAATATATATTAAATATTCTAATTTGTACTACTTTTCCCCTTGTTGACTGTACAATAGGTTATTGGAACGAAGTTCCTTATCGCGTGTTACACGCTCTGAGCGAATGTGAGCGAGACCAAACATTTGTAGCAAGTATTTTTTCCGACACATTACTCCCGCGAACTTCGTTCCGACTGGAGGTTCTTAGACCCCTCACATCGTTTTTAACTATTAGCAGGTTTGTCGTAATGGTAATGGGTTGACTTAATGACTGAGAAAAACCAAAGTATTATTAAAAGAACTTAGTCTGGTGTATACTTCTAGAATGTTTTTAAACGTTACTTATAGCTTTTGAATATACCTTTATGCGTAACTAAATATACTAACTGAATCAGAATCTGAATTTTGCCACTTTATTCGAAGAATTGAAAATTGTAATGTCGCTTTTCGGACCGAAAACCCATCGAGCATTTGATTTCTCGAACGTATAAAAATCGGAAACCAAACACATTATATTTACGATTTTCGGTGAAATAATTTTCGTGAATTTTAATAATGAACATTATAATTCTTAGGTATTACGAAATTCGGACTTTTGTAAATCGGGACATCAAAATTCGGAATAAAATATTTCGGAGTATTTGAATGTTCCCGTTTGTATGATCTGCAAATATTTGTTTCGGAGTTTGAGTGATGTATAATAATATGTATCTAGTCTAGCATCTAGTTTTCATAGTAAAAGCTCTGATTAGTTTGAAACTTGATGGCGTTGTGTGTCAGATGTCACAAATGTTATTATCATTATTAAAACAATGGATACAAGTAACACATAAGCTCAGGACAGCTTTATATATTACGTTAATTTTGGCTTAAATGCAATGTGACTAAAATTAACAATTTCGCCATTCGTACAGTATGAAAAAACCATCGGTAAAAAACTGATAGCTTATAGCTACAATAGCTTCGATATTTTTTCCCACAAAATTTTGTTGGTTATTACTTCACCGTTGGACGTTGTCCATCGGAATTGGGCATTGTTTAAGCGAACTACAAAAAAACTCATATGAAAGTTACAAAAGCTTACAACAGTCATTGTTTGGGTACCACTTTTTACACACTTCGTTTGTTTAATCTATACAAATAAATAAAAAAACTGTCTGACATACAACACTATTTATACTATATACTGTCTGTACAAAAAAAAACTTCTAAATGGCTAGGCCGATTTCAATAGTATTTTCCTACCAGGTAGCTGTCTATATAAGGAGTAACTTAGGCTATTTTTCCTCTCAGAAAACCCTTTAAAGTTTTGCCCAGTCTGGCAATGGCACTAAGGCAGCATTTTTCAAATTCCACGCGAACGAAGTCAAGCCGCAGCTAGTAAATTATTTAATACTAATTCCATCCACTAATAGGCCGACTCAAGCGTAGTGATATCACAAGTCGTGACACCATGGCCTCACAGACAACACCGGTTGGTGCTAAGCTATTCTGTCCTTTCTTTTCACCGAGTCTGTTAGGTTACCGGCTCCCAAACCACCTTCCCCACCTCCCCGATTTGGGAGGAAGGGGACTGAAAGGTCTGTAAATCACTTGTGACTCATGAGTTGTAGGTGAAAACTTCTTTAGGCGCGTGGGGCATTTTGAACAATAAATAAAAGAATGCATTTTTTAAGATGGGAAAAACTATTGAGCTAGCGACACTGTTACCGTTACCGACACCTCTGAATATAAGTATATACATATTTTAGCCCCGTTTACACGAGAGTTGAGTTTGGGTTGAAACATATTGATAATATAACTAAGTACATATGTATTATATAAACCTATATTTTGTATATAAGTACAACATAGATATATATTCATGTCAGAAGTTTTCGAATCGTAAAAAAAACTGGTTTTCACAGTGAACCCTCAATATAATTCAAAAAAACTATCAGTTCCTGGCATGTTCAAGCAATTTTTTATGTTTATGTAATTTAAATAATCTGTTTTCAGGGTTTACACTGTGACTTTGCATGCCTGATGTTCAAGCACCTGGTTCAGAAGCCCTCTAAAGCTCGCGTTCTTCAAATTATCAAAGATGCTGTAGTCATTGAGCAGGAGTTTCTTACAGACGCCCTACCCGTGCGACTACTGGGTATGAACTGTGATCTAATGTCGCAATACATTGAGTTTGTTGCAGACAGACTGCTGCTTGAACTCATCGGCGAAAGGGTAAGAAGATTAAAGCTTTGGACTTTAGTTTTTTTTTGTTTTCAATTTCGCAAAATTAAATTCGTTTTTTTTGTACACAGCACTACAATACGAAGAACCCATTCGACTTTATGAATCTTATCTCTTTGGAAGGCAAAACAAACTTCTTTGAAAAGAAAGTTGCTGAGTACCAGAAGTGTGGAGTGATGGCCAATCAAATGGACAATGTTTTCACATTAGATGCAGAGTTCTAAGAAAGTAAATAGTGTAAAGTGCATGTAAATAAGTGATGCTTATTTCTGACAGTATTGCAGATAGCAATTCGCCTTATTTCTATAGTTTGACTATATTGTATTTTTAAGCTACTATATTTCTGTTTTTTAATTACTAGCATGTAGTTATAACAGTAGCTCCACTACAAGTTGTGTCTATTGCCACTAAGATAACCTTACGATTACTTAAGATGAGAACAAAGGTTTCCATAAAAAATAAAAGCTAAAAATGGCCGTGTTAAGAGAAGAACCTGCCATATTTAGCTATCTACGCAAAGAAATAAGCGAAATAATTTTAAATATATAACAAGGTAATATATACAAGACATAAGGAAGTAAGGTAATTGGTTTATTTATGAAATTTTTTGTTTCTTTGGCGAGCACAAGTCACATGATAATAATATATTTAACACTAAAATCAGTAGGTACAGTACGTCGGGTGCTGAGCCGAGATTTCTTTCCTTTTTTGTAATCAAATGATAACTTGTGTAACTAATGTGATATATACATTGACGGCACGAAATTGTGTAAAATAATGCTTATCTGTGAAGACCTTTAATTGAAAAGATTGAAAAGTTAAATATTATTGTTACTATTTCAATGTTAAAGCTGTAGGTTTTCCTTCAAGAAACTGAATTTCATAGCCTTACTATTCGCCAATAACATGTACTTGTACATTTAAGTACACATATTCCAGAGGTTCAAAGAAGGTGAAGTTAGTTTAGTCAGTATATTCAATTTTCAAATATATATTAATCGCTATATCTATTTTTAATGCAATTACATAATAATGAAATCTGTGATAAATTATGGTAGAAGTTAAGACAATTTTTCTTGTAAGTAAAAGGGGTACTCTAAAATCATCTGCTTAGGGCACGTATATTCTGTGCCGAAGCTTATACCTACACCACCTAATTATGTACAATGAAGCGCGAACAGGCAGGAACTATTCTAGGATTCTTCCCCAAAATGAAATAAACGTTTATACATCTCCATCGCATCAGCGAATTAGTCCATCTTCGATTATATATGCTGGAGAAGAATGATAATACAGTAACTGTTACATACGAGTTTCAAAAACAATTTGTGGCTCTCATTAGCTTAATGGAAGTCCGTATTTTGTGCTCTTAAAATGTGGACTACATCGCTTCTGCAGAAAATACGTTTTAATTAAGAACAACACTACTAAAAATTAAGAGATTGCCCCTTGTTTACAACAAGAAAATATCTTTTCGATATGCGACATGTAATGAGTATGTACTTAGAGTTAAGTGACTTTTATTATTAAAATTTCATTAGCTACCTATTGTGTCTAATTTAACTGGTTATTTCTATTTATATAAGATATACAACCTTGGCAGAAAATACCTAATAAATAGTAAGGCTTACGACGTTAGCGGCTTCGCTTACTCGGTCTCCTTGGCGGGAGGTACGTAGATATGATTCATGCTAATAATTATACAGTTTTTTTTACGTACATAGGCAGGCAGTATTACCTACCTACTTACTGCCTTGCCATAGGATCCAACATCCAACAACTTCACTGTCCGTGGCTCTATAATCTACTATTGGCGTGGCTCTATAAATATACTTATTAGTTTAGAAATAGATTGAAAACCAAGATGTCTCCGCATAGTTACAATAGGAATGGCTGCACAATTGTTTAAAAAAATCCAGTTTCATTGGGGACTCGCTCTGTGAAAAGCGTGCATAACGGCAAAATATTTATTTTATTGGTGAAATCGGATGTTGTTAACGCCTCCCGCTAAGCTAAATTGCTTGTGATAGGGGTGGGTTCACATCGATAGTGTACTGTTTATAAATAAATAGGGCGCATTGGTATAAACGACGAGACGCTCAAAGTATTGAGGTTTTTAAATTTAAAAAAAATACCGTATCTACTCAAGCCGTGCAGTAGGTATTCTTAATATGAAACTTCTTACTGCAACGCACATCGTAAACGTAATAGCCTCGTCTCAGATAAACTCACGAACAGCGCAGCAGTGCGGTACGGACTAAACTTGTAGTTCCCGCGTTTATGATTCATTCTCCCTTCGCTTATCGGCTCGTCGCCTTACCAATTCGCGGCCCGCTTGCAACACATTGTCACGATTGTCCGTGTAAACAGACTGTTTCATCGGCTATACACGTAGTGGGCCCAAATTTTACAATACTTACTCATGCGACAGTACCTTGAGTATACATTTACATCACTATCAGGCGGATTAAGTATCAGAAGCGCTCTAGGCAAGCATCTCAACGTCACTCCTGGATCGGCAAGGGGCCTTTAGCCACTCATTTCCGCCTCAAAATCCCATTGAAGCGATCTGCCACCGCCCTCTGAGGGTGCTAGAGGCTTGCCTTATTATGGGCGATCAGAGCTTCCGCCCACACCATTGCAACAAATAGTGCCATTAACAGGACAACCCTAGTCTATTACCACAACTTATAATCTCTACTACAGCTGCTGTTGTAGCAACTGTATTTTTGTGTACACGCACTAGCAAGCATCGATCTTCGTAGATATCAGAAAATGAAAACAAATAAGTATTGGCAATTACGTAATATAAATCCTACGTGTCAACGTGTAAACATTTAAGAATTAAGGAATTGTTTATATTGTTGTAAGTTATTTTAAGAATGTGTATACCTACTGCCAGACAGTTCTGTTTATGACAGGTATATATTTTTTCTTTGCTAAAAAATTCTGCGTCCGCGCCTACTTTGCCTTAGTCCGCCACCGGCCACTGATCACTATGTATACGCAACATTTCATTGTGCAGAAAGAATTTAACAAATAGTGTGGTGCCATTGTCGGTGCCGTATATTTGTATAGAAAGCAGTCCTTTCAGGTGGTTAAAACATAACAATAAATCTTTATTCAGCGCGAAAATATGTAACTTATGTAAGCACTGTAATAAAAGACAAAGTTACAATTTTTATTGCCAAACGACAAAGAGTCACGATGTGACACACAACCGCCAAAATTAAAAATACCCGCGTTTTGTTTACGTTCCTTCGTTTCATTGGTAAAAAAGGTGTCCAATAGCGATACAAAGTTAAATGTCAATTTTTGGCGGGGAAATATATTACCACATTTTTCTGTTTTCAAATGAAACTGACAAAACTGTAACGATTATTGAAACATATATTAGGAGATTAAAAGATTTTAATCGAAACTAAATAATTGATCTAGCTAAATACAATGAACTTTCACCAAGATCCTGTTTTAAAAAAAAATACCGCCTTTTTAAATCGTCTTACTGCACGGGTCACTGACTTCCAGAAGTTAGTTCCGTTATCACTCTGATTATGCTACGAAATTTCAATTGATTGTTTTTTTTTGTTCGTTTGGGCCCGGAATCAACAATTAAATGCATAATTTTTTATTAAAGTTTATAAATTGGTAACTTTAATTAATACGTTGGTGCCGAAAAGGAGATTTATGTTAATTTTTTTGGGAACAAAGATTTCCAACGATTGACATCGGAACGAGAATCAAAACACTGGCTGGAAAGAAATTGAATGAACTGAAATTGCTACATGTTTGGACATGTTGTTGTCGGCGTTGTTGCCACTTGTTGCGATTCGCTTAAATTGGTGCACGGAGCATTGAGTCGTGACGTGTGTTTTATAAAGTGCATTATATTTTTGCTTAATTTAGTTATTTAAGGGCGCTCATATTTAAAAATGGCACCTATTGTGGACAACGAAAATCTGCTTAACGACTTCAGGAACGTTCATTTAAAGGTTCGATTTTCTTCTTCTCAGGGGTTATTTAATATCATGAGCACGAAACTAAACTATTTTCAATAATATTTACTTTTAAAATAAATATAGTCTTTATTTTAACGCAAGAGTAGCGAAAAGCCGTTACAAACATTTTTATCCGATTTAGAACCAGCTGCATGTTAAATATTTTAACAAATTGTTGAAATAACTTTTTGGTTTAATTTTTTTATATTTACAGTCACCAGTGAAAAATAATGTGCTAAGTCCTAGAAAAAGTAATTTACAAGAAAAGGGCATGGATGTGGAATCATCAAGTGACAAAAACCAGGAAGTGGTACAATTTGACCCCCAGCTTGAGCCTTTATTAAGAGACAATCCGCGACGCTTTGTTATATTCCCGATAAAGTATCCAGAGATATGGCAGATGTATAAGAAGGCAGAGGCTTCTTTTTGGACTGTAGAAGAAGTAGATCTATCTAAAGTAAGTCGTGCATGTTTTTTTTCCTGATAATCTGTAGGGATGCATGTGGAAACTAAATATAAATTACCAAACATTGTGAATGGATAGCATTTTTAAAATATAGAACTTAATCTACATGTCGCAATCAATATGCAAAAATCAGTTTATTGCCACATCAACATGAGTTTAATATAACAGCTTTATACAATATTGACTTATTTCACAGGATCTTGCAGACTGGGCAAGTCTAAAAGACAGTGAGAGGCACTTTATTAAGCATGTGCTCGCATTCTTTGCTGCATCAGACGGCATTGTCAATGAGAACCTTGTGGAAAGGTTCTCACAAGAGGTACAAGTCACTGAAGCCAGGTGCTTCTATGGTTTCCAGATTGCAATGGAGAATGTTCACTCTGAAATGTATTCTCTACTAATTGACACATATGTTAAAGAGCCACAAGAAAGGTAAGATCTGTACTTAATTTTTATTTCAAAATAATAATGAAAAAAGGTTACACCTTCAAACAAAATTTTAAAAACACAATAATTTTGAGTAGGTAGGCACATACTTAAATATAGTTTAAATCTTATTGTTACAAAGTATACTTCCCAGCTAACTAATGCAACATTCTAAATAATTTTTGCCCTCTTTACTAGAAGTTTCTAGAAATAATAACATGCTAAATAGTAATTGAGTACAATGCTCTTACTGTTACAAAGTATTCTTCTTTACAAGTAACTATTGTTACTCTGATTGAGATACCCTCTTTATCAAAAGTTTCCGGAAACACTTGAATGCTAAAAAGTCATTGTATACAATGTTATTACTCTTACAAAGTATTCTTCTATCACAAGTACCTCATTAGTACATTCATTTAGTTGTTGAAATTAGTCAACATTTGGTATTTTGTGTCATCATTTTATTAACACTTCAGTATTGTGAACGTTTCCTATCCTATATTGTTTGTTTTTTATGTTGATGCAATTTCTAGACTGACTCATACTGTTTAAAAATGTGTTGTTTATCCTATTAGGGATTTTCCACTCAGAGCCATTGCCACTTCAGCCTGTGCTAACCATAGAGCAAATACAAAGAGGAGGTGTTGTAATTCGATTTTCCTATGAAACAACGCATGATAATTTGCGGAGTGAGGATGTGTTAAGCTCCGTCTATTTTTCCATCTACCAAAAAATAGCAAAACTACTCGCATCTTTCTATGTCAATGTGGCTACTTAGCTATCTCACACTAAGTGTAGGATAAATTGTGGTGTAGGATAAAAACTTTATCCTTTTCATAAAACCACGAAATTTTTGCGACACAACCGCACAGTACGGACGAGTACAGTGAGTGTACTAATTTTAAGCCACGCCCTCTGTGATGACGACGACTTTGTATTTGCTCCGTGGTGTAAACATTAAGTTGTCTACATGTGTGTATTACATTTAGCTAAACTACTTTATTACTAGTTTAGGAATTAGGTTTCAAAACTAGTTGGTGATTAGTGACCGTGACTACTAAGCGAGGGTTTGATTTCCGTCATGGACAAATAATTGTGTGATGTGCACAATCATAATTTCTGTGTTTAGCTGTAATTTATCTGTAGTATGTATACATTGAGAAGTAAATAAGTACGAGGGGAGGTCCAAAGTTCATGGAATGGAGGGGATGGAGTGCCATACTAATTGGGGACTTATTTAATATAACCTTTTCTCGTCTACCCTCCATGAAGTTAACTGTGCTGGAAAGTTAGTCGCGATTAAAATAGTGTATTTATTAATATTTTGTGCTAAATTCTTCCCAAAAACCGTGTTAAAATCAACAATAAGTGATATGTGTGCACTATTATAAATAGTGGAGTGGTTTTCAATCATCAAACATAATATCTTATTTAGTTAAGAAATTTACGAACTTCCTCAAATTCATACCGACGAAAATCACCTAAAATGAAGTGTTTTCAATGCGAAAGTGATGTCAGTAATGACGACAATGCTGTTCAGTGTGATGGGTGCGAGCGCGGTGTGTGCTCGAAATGTAGCAACTTGACAAGTAGTGAGGCTAGAGTTATGGGGCTCAAGTCGCGACGCACTCTTTTGTACCTGTGCGCGCCTTGTCGTGAGGCCTTATTTCAAGTACCAAAATTGATAAAGTCTTATGATGCAGTGCGAGAAGAGCTGGATGACATAAAAAAACAACTTGCCCAGCAAACTCCCGGCCAAAGGAAACCGGCGTTTTCGCAGCCGACAACGGGTGCCATTGATGCGAACTCCATTATTGGAGAAATGGCAGAACGTGAGCGTCGAGCTAATAACATTATTGTGGTTGGTATAAAAGAATCCGACTTGGATGATAAAGACAGTCGCAGTGCCCATGACGAATCAGGACTTAAAGAAATCTTAGAGGAAATCACTGGGGATAGTGGAGCCTCAGCTAAAGTGGTCAAGATAATTCGCTTAGTTCAAAAAGACAGTTCAAAGCCCAGGCCTATGAAAGTTGTTCTAAAGAGTCGATCTGATGCTGTCCACATTCTAAAAAACAAGGCAAAAGTGCGTAAGGAGGTAAGAATCTATAATGACAGAACACCACAGCAACGAGAAGAACTCAACCAGCTCCGCCAGAGCCTAAAAGAAAGAATGGATAAAGGTGAGATAGATATCACTATAAAATATGTTAGCGGAATGCCAAAGATTATCAAGACAAAAAACTAATAAGTAGTAACACTCCATACACCAACCTTACATTTTATTATACCAACTTATGCTCACTACCCGCTAAATACGACTTATTTCTTCTTGACATAAAACCCACATTCATAATTGTTACAGAAACATGGCTTAATAATAATGACAGGAACAGTACCTATGCAATACCAAACTACACTCTCTTTAGAAAAGACCGCAAAAAGCGGCCAAGGGCCGAAGGTGGAAAATCAAGGGGCGGTGGTGTAGCAATTTATGTCAGAAGCAATGTTAACGGCATCCCAATAATTGCACGCAAGAATAACCGGTTTATGGCTGACATGGTGGAGGCGCTATATCTTGATATACAATTTGTGCATTACCATTTTGTACTAGTTGGAGTCTACCGTGCTGATACTAATATTAACTGGGCAGAAGACGACAAAGTCTTACTTGATAATATATCACATGCTTCTGAAACCAACACTATACTTATCATGGGAGACTTCAACTACCCGGACCTCGTCTGGCCTATGTGTTCACACCAAGACCAAAGACTGAGTGACGCATCACAGTTGTTTCAGACTATGTTTCTTGACAGTAATCTCCATCAGCTAGTATCCGGCCCCACAAGATTTCGGCAGAACAATATACCATCACTACTGGACCTCGTTATGACTAACGATTGTTCTATGATATCCAGTATAAACCATCTACCACCTATTGGCAAGAGTGATCACTGTGTATTGCACCTTCAAATGCAGTGCCTCACTTGCCCATCAGATTCCCACCCGCAACAGAAGCGATACTATCAAAAGATTGACTTCAATAAGTTTAACAAGGACCTCTGCGAAGGCCTAAATAATATAGTCAGAACTGAAGAAGTGGAAGATTTCTGGAACATTGTAAAAACAATACTGAATGCTAACATAGAAAAACACGCCCCTCCAATGACAGTCAGGCAGAAAAACAAAAATAAACCTTGGATCAAACCGCACATATTAAAACTAACACATACAAAACACAAACTTTGGGATGTATACTCTGCCAGTAAAACAACAGAAGACTACTTGGAATATAGGACCATTAGCAACAAATGCGTTAATGAGTGTAGAAAGTATAGAAGTTACTATGAGGCAGACATACTTAAACATGGAGACAAATGCTTCTATTCATACTTGCGTAGGTGTACATCCTCTAAGGTTAGCATTCCACCTGCTATGCGGAGCCCGCTTGGCAACCTAGTGACTAGTCCACTGGATATTGCTAATACATTTGCTAAGGAATTCAGTAGAGCATACTCTGAGGAACCACCTATAAACAATATACCTATGATTAGTGGCATTGCACGCGTTCAAGCCTCCCTATGTGATATCCCATTTGAGGCAGAGGAAATTGCAAAAGTACTAAAGAACCTTAAGGTAAACTCATCACCAGGACCAGACAGTATACCAAATATAGTACTAAGAAACAGTGCAGACCTGATTGCTCCTGTATTGGCAGAAATAATGAGAACCTCCTTTACAAACAATAGATTACCCAGGGACTGGAAACATGCCATAGTGACACCTGTATACAAAAACGGTGATAAGACTGACCCGGCTAAGTTTAGGCCTATAAGCCTCACAAGTGCTATAGGTAAATGTATGGAGAAGATCATATCAAACCATATCAGGTCATTCCTCAACAGACAGAACATTATTTCTGTTAAACAACATGGCTTTGTTGAGGGGAGATTAACGGTAACTAATCTACTAACATGTGTTAACACGTGGGCAAGGGAACTTGATCAAAAAAGAAGTATGGACGTCATTTACTTGGATTTCGAACGTGCTTTTGATAAGGTTCCTCACAATCGACTATTGTTGGAACTTGAGCACTTTGGTATGCGTGGAAATCTCCTAAAATGGCTTGAAAACTACCTTGCAAATAGAACATACCAAGTCAGAGTCGGTGACACATTATCTGAGACAATGAAGGTCCTGAGTGGTGTCCCCCAGGGCTCAGTTCTCTCTCCTATCCTGTTCAACATTTTCACTGCAGATTTAATAGCATTAATAGAGTGTGAGTCTTGCTTTTTCGCTGATGATGGAAAGTTCTTTGGTGATCCTGTCATTCGGTCAGGACAACTGCAATCAGATCTGGATAATTTACAAGAGTGGACCAAAGAGTGGATTGCGAAGCTCAATGCATCCAAATGTACAGTATTGCGTCTGGGTAAGAACAACCCTGAAGTACCATACACAATAGGTGACACAATAGTTGCATCTGTCAAGTCGCAAAAAGATCTTGGAGTAATGATAACCAGCAACTTAAAATGGGCTGACCACATCAATATTATAGTTAAAAAGGCAAATTCCTTCCTATATGCTATACGACGTGCATTCCAACACATGACACCTTCAGTTTTCACCAAAATTTATAAAACTTATGTCAGGCCTCTGTTAGAATACGGTTTTCAAATTTGGAATCCCTACCTTGTAAAGGACGTTGACCTGCTGGAAAGTGTGCAAAGGCGAGCAACTAGGATACCGTATGGACTGCGACATAAGACTTACGAGGAACGCTTAAAAGTGTTAAAATTACCGACATTAAAACATCGCAGGATGAGAGGCGATCTTATTGAAACCTGTAAAATACTAAGCTCAAGATATAATCTTCCAAATATCAAGGATATGTTCCTCCTCCAGCGCAAGGCGTACTCATCACGGGGACACAGCTTCGCAATAGATCGCTCACACTCACAGTCGCTGGTAGCCTATCACACTTTGAACAATCGTGTTGTTGCGATATGGAACAAGCTTCCGGAAAATGTTGTGACCGTAAAGTCAGTGAACAGTTTTAAGTGCCAACTAGATACATGGTTAGAAAAGCACAACCCATTGGACTAAACAGCCGTTTAATCATGTACACGGGAACTCTTACATCACAAACTTACTCCAGTGCAGTGATGTGGACACATCAGCAAGTTTGCTGCTCGTCCATAATACCCTAATACTAATAATAATAATAATATATAAAATTCTCGTGTCACGATCTGCGTGGTTGAACTCCTCCGAAATGGCTAGACCGATTTTCGTGAAATTTTGTGTGCATATCGCGTAGGTCTGAGAATCTGCCAACATCTATTTATCATACCCTTTTTTTTTTGACAAAAAAAATTGTATATAAATTAAGTTTCAGCCCTATTGCTTCATTAGTTAACGAATATTCGCCTGCTAAACAAGTCTATCCGGAAGAAAACTGAAACTTTGAAGAAAATTGAACACCATGCTGTGATAAAATTCCTTACCAAGCAAGGAAAGAACGCTCAGACCATTTTGAATGAAATGCAAACCGTTTATGGGGGACAGTGCCCTAGTAAATCAATGATTTACAAGTGGCATGATCTTTTTAAACATGGTCGGGCGTCGATTGAAGACGCCTCCTCTCAGGAAGGCCAGTTGAGGCCACCACATCAGACATCGTCGAAAAGTAGAAAAAAATGTACTGAAGGATACCCGTTTGAAGAAAAAACAGTTATCTGCATTAGTTGGAGTATTAGATATCACTATTTTGCAAATTCTAAATGACCTGGGTATGACAAAAGTCAGTGCAAGATGGATACCGAGAATGCTCACGCCGCTTCAGAAACAACAGCGCGTCGATGCGAAAAAACATTTTTTATGATGCGTCAATCACTTTGAGCCTGAGTCTAAACAAGAGTCCATGCAATGGCATAAAAAGGGTTCACCACCTCCAGAGAAATTCAAAGTGTCGGAGTCGGCTGGAAAATTGGCTCATCTCTATATATATAAAAATAAATTGCTGTTCGTTAGTCTCGCTAAAACTCGAGAACGGCTGGACCGATTTGGCTAATTTTGGTCTTGAATTATTTGTTGAAGTCCAGAGAAGGTTTAAAAGGTGAATAAATATGAAAATGCTCGATATTTTTTTGTAATTCTGAGCATTTTGAATTGTTTTCATAAAAAAGGATTCCTTTTGTTTGTTTATTTAGGTCTTTTATTTATCAATTGAGGCAGTACGAAGTCTGCCGGGTCAGCTAGTTGATTATAAAGAAAAGGGAAGGACTATAACCGGAGAATACTAAGCAACGATTCTAGAGAAATTAAAGGAGCCCATCAAAGAAAAACGTTGAGGAAAATTGACCAAGGGTGTGTTACTCTTGCAAGACAACGCATTGGTTCACAAGAGTAAAAACACTGGTCCACCCACCCTACAGTCCAGATCTGGATCCTAAGTGATTTTATTTGTCCCCCAATTCAAAAAAAGACTTAAGGGGAAGGAAATTTTCCGACGGCAATGAGATAAAAGAGGCAACTTTAGCTCATTTTGAGGCAAAAGATAAAAAATATTTTTACGACGGTTTAGAAAAAATTGTTCTAGATCTAATAACTGTATTCAGCTTAAGGGTGATAACATTGAAAAGGAACAAAAGGTTTATTGTTTCATTTCATTTAAAACCCTTTTATTCCACGAACTTTTGGACCTCCCCTCGTATGTTTATTAGCAGTTTAGTTACCATAGTTGAGGCTCTGCCTAATGTATTGTTTATCTTCTAGGGAATTCCTGTTCAATGCTATTGAGACTCTACCTTGTGTGAAAAAGAAGGCGGATTGGGCATTAAACTGGATTGCAAGCCAGACTGCCACATTTGGCGAGCGAATCGTCGCATTTGCAGCTGTTGAAGGCATATTCTTCTCTGGCAGTTTTGCTTCTATATTCTGGCTTAAAAAACGAGGACTTATGCCGGGATTAACATTCAGTAACGAACTCATATCTAGAGATGAGGTAAGAACTTAGTTATATAGAATCATGTTTAGTACAAAATTAATGTAAATTCATGTATTCATCTATTTAGTATTCATTGCTCAAACTCTGTCTGTGCTGTACTTATATTAATAAATTGAATATATTTCTACTTTTTGCATTATTAGCAACAGCACAAACAAGCTGTGTGTTTCAGCATTTATGGACCATAAATAATTTACTGGAATTTACAGTCAATTAAAATGTTATGCTTTATGATCCACTAAGCTTAATGACCCATGAAGTATATGTTGATACATGTAAACAATGTGATTCTAATGAAAAAAATATAAATAAATTCTAAATAATAAGAAAAAAAAATAAGATAAAGAAAAGATCTATTCTAGATAAAGAAAAAATAAGCATAAATTATGCGAAACAAGGTCAATTTAGGTATTTGTCAACTATATAGATATTATGATTTTAGGGTCTGCATTGTGACTTTGCGTGCCTAATGTTCAAGCACCTGGTGCAGAAGCCTTCTAAAGCTCATGTATTAAAGATAATCAAGGATGCAGTAGTGATCGAACAGGAGTTCCTTACAGACGCGCTACCAGTTCGCCTGCTGGGTATGAACTGTGACCTAATGTCTGAGTACATTGAATTTGTTGCAGACAGGCTATTATTAGAACTCATTGGAGAAAAGGTAAGGAAATTGATAGATCTTGATTTATTTGTTACCAAATACTGGAAACTTAATAACTTCAATTATTTTGTACACAGCACTACAACACGAAGAATCCTTTTGACTTCATGAACCTCATATCCCTGGAAGGCAAGACAAATTTCTTTGAAAAGAAAGTTGGAGAGTACCAGAAATGGGGTGTTATGGCAAACCAAATGGATAACGTTTTTACTTTAGATGCTGAATTTTAAAAACCTACTCCTTTTTATTTTCTGACAGTATTAATTGACTTCTACCTGGTAGTGGAATATAAGGCATTTATAATTATAAATTATTAAATCATCACATTTTTTTATATTTTAATGAGTACTTAATATTATGTAATATTTTTTTACATACAATTTTATGTTGATGAATGTTTTAGATTGAATTGACTTAGATAATATATACTAGATGATAATATATATTTATAGTGAATAAAATCATTTTTAAATGATAATCCTGTGATAGGTATTAAGGACATGTGGCTTTATTTCTACAAGAAAGGTAAAATGCTATTGACTTTGATATTTGGTAATGTGAGTTGAAATGTGATTTTTAAATAAAATATTCAAAAATATTTAATGTTTACTATTTTTAAACCTGACCATTTTTAAAACTGATCAGCCAGGGGCTGAGGCTATGATTTGATACTGATCTGCTTATTAGTGTAAGGTGGACTCGCCTCAGACCATGACTAGGTACAAAAATGCCAGGTTTTACTAGATGGTTTACCAGTCTCCATTACGGTTTGTCTATAAGCAATGGTTTTCATAATCACTAACAAAAAATTAAAGATAGTCGGATCTGACATTTATTGAACTTTATAGGGCAGCTATTTCAAAAAATTGTTTTCTTTTGACATAACTTTTAATTCTAAATCTGTACCTATTTATGAAAATTGGCATACTAGTGAAAAACAGTGTTAATGTAATATGCAATAAAAATAACTAATAAATACAATTTTCTAGAATAATCACATACCTCATTTTACTTTGAGCGCCTATCAAACAAACACTCAATAATCTAAAATCTAATGTAGTAATAATATTTGGACAATGTAGTATCGAAATATGGTAAAAACTAATTTCGATTTTTTCAAAACCGACATTATTCTTAGATCATGACGAACGTTAGGTCTGAGCTCAACGGCGGGGTCGCTAGTTAACAGGCGTACACTTGTCTAATAGGTGTGCGTTACCCCAGCAAAATAATGTCGAAAATGGTCATTTAAACTTTATAGATAATTAGTTGCTCCCCTTCTGTAATTGTTAAGCACATTTTTAAATTTGTTTCACTAAAACTTTTTTAGTTATTTCAAAAAAACATTTCCTGCTGGAGTAACGTTTGAAACGTTACCGCAGCCAGACATTTTCTTTTTTAATTGTAATATTGAAATAAATTTTAGCTAAATAATTAGTTATCTGGACTAGGTAAATGTTACAACTTATTTGGTATTTGTATTTTCTTCGGTTGCGAAGTTATTCGAAATCCTGCTGGAGTAACGTTTGTGGGTTTGCTGGATCTCTGAAACGGGTAAGCGGATTGTAACCATCTTTTGTACATAACTTCTTAAGGATTAGTTTTAATTTGTTCGACAATAAAATAACAAAAATAATGGACCGTTTAAAAATTATTTAGGTAAGTATGAAAACACTTAAATACGTCCTAACACTTTAAATAAGACCTCTTATGACTTACTTGAAACGTTATTCTATTGCTTGTAACTACCTTCAAATGTATACGAATTTTCGTAGGAATACTGTAAGTGACTAAAAAGTTATGATGAAATGTAGCTCTCCACGTTCACGATCACAATGTGTGCGGCCTTTTTTGGCCACCGATAAACCTGTGTGTGGATATATAAACTGAATGTTATGCCAATAATTAGTTGTTTAGTTCAGTTGACTACCTGTAAAATTTCAGCGTAGTACATATAATAATTTACGAGATAATTATTCATATTTCTTAAATTACCTATACCTACCCTAAAATTAAACTTCAATTAACAAATACTACGCAGGTACCAATTCTATGAACAACTATAAACAATTCACCTAAACATTACGAGAAAACAAAAGCATTCAAAACAATACCTAATCGCCCGGCTGATTACTAATTATGCAATAAACAATCCTAAATAAAAAATATTTAAAAAACATGTAGTTTTTTGTAACACTTATGTACATATCCGTAGTAAACTTGCAAATAATATCCTACATATTTTAAAAGCCAGCGCAATGTACTGGGTGATCGCTTTTTTGTAACCACCTAAACATGGTCGGATTACCACGGTCTTGCACCTTCTAATGACTTTTATTTAATTATCTCGTAAATTATTATATGTACGACGCTGAAATTCTACAGGTAGACAACTGAACTAAACAACTAATTATTGGCATAACATTCAGTTTATATATCCACACACAGGTTTATCGGTGGCCAAAAAAGGCCGCACACATTTTGATCGTGAACGTGGAGAGCTACATTTCATCATAACTTTTTAGTCACTTACAGTATTCCTACGAAAATTCGTATACATTTGAAGGTAGTTACAAGCAATAGAATAACGTTTCAAATAAGTCTTAAGAGGTCTTATTTAAAGTGTTAGGACGTATTTAAGTGTTTTCATACTTACCTAAATAATTTTTAAACGGTCCATTATTTTTGTTATTTTATTGTCGAACAAATTAAAACTAATCCTTAAGAAGTTATGTACAAAAGATGGTAACAATCCGCTTACCCGTTTCAGAGATCCAGCAAACCCACAAACGTTACTCCAGCAGGATTTCGAATAACTTCGCAGCCGAAGAAAATACAAATACCAAATAAGTTGTAACATTTACCTAGTCCAGATAACTAATTATTTAGCTAAAATTTATTTCAATATTACAATTAAAAAAGAAAATGTCTGGCTGCGGTAACGTTTCAAACGTTACCCCAGCAGGAAATGTTTTTTTGAAATAACTAAAAAAGTTTAAGTGAAACAAATTTAAAAATGTGCTTAACAATTACAGAAGGGGAGCAACTAATTATCTATAACGTTTAAATGACCATTTTCGACATTATTTTGCTGGGGTAACGCACACGTCTAATAGAGTTCATTGAAGGGGGCTTTGACTTCCAGGGTTAAAAGAGATTTTTGTGTGCGTTTCATTGCTCCGCCACGATAACATAACAAAAACACTTCGCCAAAAATTTGACAAAATAGAAATAAAGAAGTTATAAGGGTTTTAAGTTGGCAGCGCAAACGTCGACTCAGTTAACCAGGTGCAGTTTACTGTAACCCGAGTTAACACAGAATTGCCCCACGGCGCAGTAGAAAGACTCATACCTACCTACAATCACACCATCCCCAAATTCCAAAGCGTATTTGGCCCAAGTCCATTTACTGATTTAAGAGGCAGTTTTATATGTATAACACATGCAAATTATAGTAGTAGGAATTCGGGCATTTCAAACATTTTTGTAATGTGAAGTCAAAAATATTTTATATATATATATATATATATTATATTTTTCTGTGCTCACATAGCAAACGCTGTGGCTAAACCTTGCAAGATAGATCAAAATAATGTACTACGGATTATATCTTAAAAAGATCTACAAAAAAACATATTTTTTTTACCCAAAACATTTTATTTACATATTACAAAAAACAATGAGCAATAAAATCCTTACCCAAATAAAAACGTTAAATACGTTGTGCATTTACTGTAGATCCAAATTGATAGTTTGATAATAGACGCATCCGCGTCAGGCCGTACCAGCGGCCGGCAGGAGCGGAGCGGGCCTATAATTATTGTATATAAAGATATCGCACCCTCGGTGCAACAGTCACAACAGGTCATTTTGTAATTTTACAGGAACGGACTTTTAAGTTTTTTTTCGATCAATTTTCCTATTTTTTAGATTACTACCTACAGCAGCCGGGATATCTCATTAAAATTATATTATTTGTTCTTTTAACTACAGTATCATGTAAAAAGATTTCTTTGATTTTATTAGAAAATTGAAAAAAAAAGGAAACAAAAGAAAGTCGTAACTTGTGACTATGTCGCACCAGGTCCAAATATAATTTAATTATTTGAGCGTTATAATGGCACTTTGTTATTTCAATATACGTGAATAAAAATTGTCATTAATACCTTTAAGCCGGTGTAGCTCCAAGTCACGACTGACTCATGCGGGCGCGGGGTCACTACTTACCAATCATACTCTGTTCTCCCAATATTCGTCGAAAAAGTAGCAAGAACCACAAAGGCACTAATGCCATCTGTCGATATATTCAAATAATTTCGCGGCTGTCTTTGATTTCCCAAACGAAGAAATGGTTTATAGACAATTTGGCATACTTAAGTCATTTTGGCAATTTTGCCTACTTGTGACTTTGTTGCACCGAGGGTGCGATATGCTGTATAATTAATTACTCCACACTGACACCACATCAGTAGTATCTACATTGCACCCGTGCGAAGCCGGGCGGATCGCTAGTATATAAAAGGAATAGGAACTTAAAGTAAACGAAATTATAACGAATCAAATTATATTTATTAAAATTATATTACATAGGTTTATCGGCTGTTTAGGAACTGTATTGAATGTGGAGTCTACTAAAAATCTAAGTATCTATTTATATCGTAAACATTCTGTATAGTTCCACAGCAACTCGAATAAAGTATGAAACCAATTTCAAGTACTCCAACCACATTCTGCAAAACAAAAGCATCCCTTACAATTACACAGTACTTTTCTTTAGGTATGTCCCTTAAATATTTTCGAATACCTATTCGGACTAAGTGGTCTTAATAGCTATTTTGATTGGTAAACTGTGTACCAGTTGAATTCATAGAACTCTCCACTATGCTGTTGTTATAAAAATTGTGACATCACGGCATTTTATTAGAACCGATTTTTTGCAGATTACATATAGATAACTGTTAAAAGCCTAAACGAAATTATACTTTACCAAAGACAAGTTTTTTTTTACTCTATCACATACATATGTTTTGGGCTGTTTTTTTTACTATTTTTAGCTGTAAGTAGCTCTTTTTTGGTTTAAAACATTAAGATTTTTTTAATAGTTTAACCATATGTGGAAAATCTTATTAAAAATAGTGTGAGAAATGGAGATGAAAACGAAAATATACGTTCAGTAATAGACTGAACGTTAACGTGATTGTGTTTTATCTTTTACAAGACGTCTGAGCAGTCGGTGACCGGACAGGAAAGTGATAGCGGCCAGCGGGAGCAGGTAACGCATGGTGTCGAACATGGTCAACTGGAGCCACAACAACCCGTACAGACCCAGGGAACCTGCGAAAACAGATAATTGTTATAAAAAACAAATACATCGTGCTCTGTTTCGATTTACAAAAATAATTTTATGTATAAATATTATACTTTGTTAACGCATTTTTTCTATATCGAACTTTAAATCACATCAGCAACCCTGACGTAAAGTTCAGAACCACAAGTCGTTTGGTATTTTTGACTTCTAAGATTGACATTAAATGAAGTCAACGAAGAGAAGTCTCATTTTCAGTGCTATCTATTGATGTATCAAAAAAAGGTGCGGTACCTCCGAGCGCGAGGTGGAAGACGAGCACGCTGGGCGTGAGGGGCAGGTTCCCGAAGTTGATCCCGAGGCGCGCCCACAGCAGCAGCAGCAGCAGCAGCGGCGCCGCGCACGCGCACGCGAACACGTCCGACACCAGCCGCGCCGGACGCGCCTCGGGCGAGCGGAACGCGTGCGCGATCTGCGCCCGCGCACCGCGGTGCGGGCCCGCCGGGGACACGAGCGCCGCTCCTGAGGGACGACGGACTTACTCGTTTAGTGGTTATTGGTGTACAAAAAAAACTAAAACATTAACGAGCGACACGAGCATTATCTACCCTGTATTCTTTACTCTTTTCTTTAAGTTCTCCTTCCTAATTAACTACTCGACTTCAATACTTAGGTGCACACCACGCTAAAACCTCTATGACCTCGTACATTCTACTTTCCTAGTACAATCTATCCTGTTATATTATTACTTATTGTGTATTTTTGACGTGACAACGTCTTATAATTCGATGGAGCCGGCTGCTCGCACGAAAAAACATGACTCATGCGGCGTTACCTCGCTCTGAGGCTCAAGCGAGAGCGCGGAACGAGCGACAAAGAGGCACAATCGGCCTCCGCGTTCGGCAGCCTTCGACATCTGTCTTTCTCCTACTTGAGTGAGCGATGCGTCCGCGTGGACAGCTGCTACTCGTATACAATAATACATTTTTGAAAAACGCAACCATTCCATCAGTATTTTCTTATGACGTTGTCACGTTCAACTATCGTCAGTAAACCGACTTTACAGTGTAACGGTGCATTTCGCACCATTACAGTAATTTGAACCTTAGTCTTGCTTTTGTTTTGTTAGGTTGAATTTTATGTCGTTTCTGCGAGTGCCGATGGTCGAGGGGTGGACGAGAGTAATAATCGATGTTGTTCGCCCGCGTTAGTTAGTCGATTTAGTTTTTCTTGTCCTGGCAACATTTTTTTTCTCACGTTCTAGGGAGCGACAAGCTTTTGCTCTGGCAACACGTTGGCGTCACTATTGGGTTGTCAGCCGGGTGAAATGAAGCGGAGCGAGCCATTGTAATTTATTTTATTAGTAATCCATATTTATTTGATATGGACGAGGGCCTATTTCCTCTTTAAATGTTTGGCCAACCTAGTTAAGACTCGAGCTATTGGTTCGAGTGATTATTTTTATTGAAAAGGTAAGTTTTGTTCGGCCACGTGCTTCACGCTTGGCTTGGCAGAATTTGTGGTTCTAACTCTTTGTTTAATTGGTTACAGGAAATGCTTATAATGCCGCTGCTTAGTTTGTGAAACATTTTGGGACCCTGGTAAGTAATCTATGGTTTCTTGTCAGAGTTAGGATTCATCTTGTGAGATAGGCTTTTAACCTATAATTTTTCCTTATTTGCAGATGAATCAGGGTTTTTTAGTTTATATCTAAAGTCTTTACAATACCTAAATTTCTTTACTTTCTAATTGGAATGTCATTGCGTGGCATTCGGTTTTTGTCTCTACGCCGGCCTAACCCCAAGAAATTAGTTTGCTGTGGAGCACCGGAATGGTAGGAAAAGCTGCTTAGCTGCACGCCATTGTCTGGAGCCTGGGAGTGCTAACCCGCCTCTTCCACCACGTGGGAACCGGAGTGAGAAGTTTCGGAGTTGGTTTGATTTCATTTCATTCGGACTGAACCAAGGTCATCGGTATGTGCTTTGTTATATTTTTCTTGGCGACGTGGCATTGAATACTGCAGGTCCCCAAGGGGTGTTATTTTTATTAGAGAGTAGGTCAATGCTATGTCTACCCTTGGAGTTTTATGCGACTTTGTTTAAAAACCTATACAGGTCCCCAAGGGGGTTAATTTTAATTAAGGGAGTAGGGCGTTGCTACAACTACCCCTAAACTCTTTTCTTATTGGGTCTTCATGTGACTCTTTAAAACTTATTTAACCTTATATTTTTATTGGAAAGGATTGCATTAATGACAGTACTAATTTGTGTATAAGAATTACCTATTGTAATTAGAGACATAAGACACATTGTACTCTACAGACACTACGGGATAATAAACAGCCATTAGAACTTAACATCTTGTATTCATTAGCTGCCTCCCGCCCTGGATTAAAAAGGTTCAGTGTTGGCCGAGTGGTCCGAGGTATTTGTTGTGTTTGTGGTGGGTTATGTGTTCTTTTAAGGTGGTATCTGGCGCCCGAGACTTTTATTTTGTTATTTTGTTTCTATTTGATGCCACCAGTCTAGTTTTATTTTCTTTAAAACAAACCCACACATATAATTTAATTTTTTTTATTTTTTATTATTACAACAGACAACCGACTTTTTTTTTTTTTTTTATTAATCAAACTTATATAAGTACTCTGGTTATGTGCTATTCTATATGTGCTATATTTTTCATAAAATCACACTTTAATTACTGTTCATCTACAATGTTTTAGCTCTGCATCACCCTAAACTTGACTATAAAAAAATGCCCACGGCATTAGGTCCGCCTTTGTCACATTTGTGCATAAAGTATAAATAAATAAAAATCATTAACCCTATACATAACCTCTTAGTAAAATTCAATCTCAATTTAATTTGACGAACCGAATAAAAAAATCAAAACTCACCGACAGCATTGGCATCCTTGCCAAAGTTGAAAAGCACCTCACCAACAGACCACGCGATGGGGTTGGACACGGCGCTGTCTCCCAAATAGATCGTCAGCGAGTAACTGCCTGAATTGTAGTTGAGGTGCTTAGCAATACCACCCACGTTCTAAGGATTAACAAACATAGTAAGGTATTAGAGTATAAACTGATGTTGGTTTAAAAGTTAACATTTTTACAAAACTCTTGAAAGTAACATTTAAAAATACGTATGATTATCATAAGACATAAAATTATATTTTTTTTTATAAAAGTGATTAAAACGTATTGTTAGCTGAATGTGAAGCAATTTTCTGGTTGCAATCAATATTGTGTATGATACATGTACAAGTTTTTTTTTAATTTAAAAAAAATTGTTTATTAGGATAAGAAATCGTCCGTAAAAGTTATTAAAAGCGTGATGTAGGCTGCACATGGGCTACTTTTACGAACATATACCAGGATACCGAAATGAAATGCTAAAATGGCTGTGTTGCCTCCTGTCAAAGCCCTACAATTAAGTAATCTTTGCAGAATTCTCATCCTCTCCTAACCTTGTTTATCTATGTTAATCTTACTCCCCCCCCAATAAATATTTCAAATAAACGCTCATGGCAGATGAAATACCTGACGTTGTTCGCAAATTTGATGTTTGAAATTCCAACGCATTCTACAACGTTTTATGATATATCTTTAATACTACAAACTGAACCCTTGTAGGATGTATTAGCAGACGCTTTGCAATTATCAGAACTGAACCAAATTGTAATGATACCACACGGGAATCACCAGCTTTCAAATAAAAAAAAAAACATCAAAATCGGTTCACCTAGTCAAAAGATTTGAGGTAACAAACATTTAAAAAAAAATACAGTCGAATTGAGAACCTGTTTCTTTTTTTGAAGTCGGTTAAAAACCCTACTAAATAGTCACTGATTCTCGTCCCACTAGCATAGGATTGTTAAAATGTTAACTTACCAGTTCGACCTTGTACGCCTTGGTGTTGTCGGGCTCAGCGACGAAGATAGTCTCGCTGTCGCCGCTCGTGCTGCCGACGCGGACGAACGCTTGTTGCAGCAACACCGGCTTGCTCCACTTGTCGCGGACGTTGAATTTCAGCGTCACCCTTTACACGTAAAATACGAATATATTGAAAAAGTGAACAAGTGCTATAAAATACTGTAATACGTTGGCTTTTTAGAGATATTTTAGATAAGGAAATTTTATGTTGTAAGTACAGTTCCAATTAAAAACCTTGAACACATTTTTTGTTATGTGTTAAAAGGGATTGAAGTATGTAACAGAAAGGCGGGAAAGTGCTCGCTATTTAATGATAAAGTTGTTGCCATCAGATGGTAGGTGGGATGTCTGATGTTACATCTAAACTAATATTATAAAGCTGAAGAGTTAGTTTGGTTGAATTCGCTGATCTCAAGATACTAGTTGGAATTGAAAAAATCTTTAAGTGTTCGATAACCTATTAATTAAGGAAGACTATAATAATATAACATCACGCTACAACCAATAGGAACCGAGAATCCATGAAAAAAGGTTGCAAAACTGGGAAAATTTATTTCGCTGGTGGTCAGCTTGTATCATATGTGACTACTCTAAGGCTAACTTTTTAAACTATTATTGTAAAATTTGTAATTAATCTAGGATGAATATATATCAAGATTATAAGTACTTACTTCTGCAGATGATCAGCTTGCAACGTCTCCTTCAACTCATTAGGGTATGTAATCGTTGTGACCTTGGGGCTTGTAGTTCCATCCACATCGCCTATGCCAACTTCAACACTGCTAACTTGAATCTCACCCAGCACAGCCACATTCACGCTAGCAGCCTTCGCTCCTGCACTGAGAGCGATCTTGTACAGGCCATATTGAGCCTTAATCTTGCTCAAGTTAAGGACGAAAGTCGTCGGTTCATTGGCCTTTTGCGTCAAAGGCTGTTTGGAGAGGACAACTACGTCATCAGCCAGTCGTGTACCGGACTGAGCGATCACTTCATCAGGCTTGAGACCACGTACTGGACGACCGATTAGGTCAGTTATAGAGAATTCAATGGTGTCCACCTCAGAGGTGATGTATTTCCTGCCTTTGATTGCGATGCTGATTGGTGCAGGCTGTAAGAGAATAGTAATAATAATAACCTGAAACATCTCACACACGGGCATTCGATCTCAGACTAGCTAGAACCTGTTCAAGATATTATAGACAAACTACACCCAAATATTCATACACATACACACACATTTATCCTGGGTAGAAATCAAACCCATTATCTCTGACCAACAGTCCAGTTAATCATAGAAGTTAAACATACTTTCCTTATACTCTCTAAGAATAAGGTAATTTATTTAAGCAGTTGGTTACCTCAATATCAGCGAGAGCAAATGCCGCTTCGATTAAAAGGGCGGCTCCCTTGGCTGTGTTGACAGATCGACGTGACAGTAAGTACTCTGCGAACTTGTAACGCTGTTCCTCGCTCAGTGGAGACGGCTTCTTCAAGTTTTTGTAAGTTCTGTGGAAGGAGATACACTTATCATATTAAATATTATGCTTTTAATTTTGAATTCATGCTAACCTACCGGGCAACTATCGGGATTAGAACCTGGTACAAACCTGCCTGTGTCAATCTCCATAGGCAAGTTAAATTGGATGTTTACTTAAGCTGTGATTAATAGAGTTGTGAGTCAGAATGGTCCAACTAAATGGTTTGCCAATGTGTTACTAGAACAGAACAGACCTGATAACAAGTTTTCTTAAGACATTCAAACCCCTAATTGCACCTTCCAAAAAGTGGAACCACAGTCTTTTGGAAAAAACTGCATTTTTGTTTAATTCTATGAGGCTGGATCCCTCATGTGGCTTCCTCAGAGGCCCATGGAAGCTGGCGTGCGGTTTTTAGTCGGTTCGAATACCAAATAACCACCCTATGAGGGGGTTGATTAGTATCTGAGGGGATTTACAAACAGAACAAAAAAGGGTATCCTTAACAGCAATATATCTGTCAATTACACTCTTATTACTCTTAAATCAATTTTTTTTTAACTCTATAATAATTGAGCAATTAAAGGTTTTTAGTTATAATAGTACAAGAATCATTACTGACCTGGTAATAGTGCTAAGCAGATGGGAAGTGACTGGCAAACCTCCTTCAAAGTGCAGAGCTTTGGAGTCACTCTCGTCAGCGGCCAGCAGAACACCCTCTGCATGTGTGGCTGTCCAAGCCAGTGATCCCATGTGCTCACACAATGCAAACACATACGCATAGCTGTAAATAACATAAACCATATACACTAATCTCTAATTAAAGTACATCTATTAATATTTATGAATATTTTTAGTAATTGTTGTGTATAAGGTAATAAGGAGAGGCCTATGTCCAGCAGTGGACTAGTATAGGCTGTTGATGATTGATGATGATAAGGTAACGTGAAATTTTCAAAAATAAATTACATTTAAGCATTATTTATTGAAATAGAAATGTTTAAATATAAATGTTGTCATTGACCTGAAGTAATTGTGTGCCACAATTTAAGACACTCTGTGTCTCTATGATACCTAACTCAGTCGAGGCAGAACACTAAAGCAATATTTCTATAATAATCAATTCTCAGATTAATATTCAGTATGTAAATATTTGTGTCAAATAAATTACCGCTAACATTTTTTATTAAGTAACAATACAAAATCTGTGTATAACTACGCTAACACAACTACAAATAATACTTCAATACTGGCTCATAATTACATATATCTATATCTCTATGTGATTAGGAATTATGTGGACGGAACATTGAAAGAAGGAAAAAAAGTTCAACACGTAGGTGTAGGTTAGAATAACTATCCTATATGTAGCTTTAAGTTCTAACCAAAGGCAAAAAAAACTTACTTAGCTGGTGAATCATCTTTCTTCAACAACTGAATGAGATTCTTCAAAGCATCTTCCTTATCATAAACTGAGCCTCTTCCAATAGCTTTTAATGAATATACAGCATGATATAAATCTTGTATAGTGGCATCAGGTTTGTCAAGGACTGCGCCAGATGCAGAAAGAACATCTGGAGATAAGGAGTTCTGGCAGCCAGTTATTACTGCAGCATTTGTCAATTGGAATATTTGTTCAATATTGTTGACATCATATTTGAAGTCCTTAATTTGCTGTAATTAAATGTAATATTTTATATCAAACATCTACACTTATAACAAGTTTTAATAAAAGTATTGAAAAGAAGAAACACAAGTATCAGCTTTGATTTCTAATAATGCATTCATCATCATCATCATCATCATCAGCCTATCGCTGGACATAGGCCTCTCCCATTGCACGCCACTTAGATCGATTTTGGGCTTCTCGCATCCAGCTCCTGCTAGCCATCCTGCGCCAATTGTCACTCCACCTATGTATACTAACTAATTCTAACAATGTAGGAAACTAATAATAATAATAAAATAATAATAAGCCCTTTTATTCTGAATTAACTAAATACATTATTAAACATTTCATAAGATTAGTCTATAAAATATCTCGCAATTCAGAGTGCCTCTTGGCATAGGCCTCCTCTAGCACTTTCCATTGGGTTCTGTCTTGCGCTACCCTTCTCCAGTGGTGTCCAGCTGTTAGCCTCAGGTCATCTGCCCATCTCGCTTGTTGGCGTCCACTATTACGTTTGCCATCCCTGGGGTACCAGTCACAGATAGTCGTACTCCATTTGCCATGCCTGTCTCTAATTATGTGTCCGGCCCATCTCCACTTCATCTGGTCTATTCGAGTGAGAATGTCAGTAACTTTAGTTTTTTCTCTTATTTCACTACTTCTTATTTTGTCCATCCTCCTTGTTCCTGTCATGCTTCTCTCCATGGCCCTTTGACAACGTTCCAGTTTAGCTCTGTGGAGTTTGGTGAGTGCCCATGTTTCACAGCCATAGGTAATGACAGGAAGTATGCAGGTGTTGAAAGCCTTTCTTTTAGTAGACATGTTTAGCTCGTTTGACTTCATAATTTCTTTCAGCGACCAGTACTTTTTCCATCCATTTGCTATTCTTCTATTTATTTCTTTAGTTGTTTGTTCTTCGTGAGAGATTTTTTGTCCTAGGTAGATATATTCCTGTACATATTCTAGTGGTTGGTTGTTCAATTCTATAGGTGTTACTTTAGAGTTTGTGAGCAATTTTGTTTTACTCATGTTCATGGACAGGCCCACCTTTCTACTCTCCTCATTAAGTGATTTTATCATTTCTTGGAGGTGCATCGGATCCTCTTCAAACAGGATTATATCGTCCGCAAATCTTAGGTGGTTTAGTTTAACACCGTGTATGTTTAGGCCGAAGCCATCCCAGTTCAATTTGCGGAAGATACTTTCTAAAACCGCTGAGAAGAGTTTCGGTGACAGCGGGTCTCCCTGCCTTAGGCCCCTCATGATCTTGAACTTTTTACCTAGGGTTTCTAGTTGTAGTCTAGCTTCGGTGTTTGAGTAAATGTTCTTGATGATTTGAATGTACTTTGGCGAGACCCCTTGTTGTTCCAGGCTCTCCCATATTGCTTTGTGATAAACACTGTCGAAAGCTTTAGAGTAGTCGATGAATGCCATGTATAGGTGTTTATTATATTCGTTGTATTTCTCTACTATTTTTTTCACCGTGTGTATATGGTCCAGGGTCGAAAAGTTTCGTCTGAAACCGGCTTGTTCTCGTGGTTGGTTTTCATCGAGCGTTTTGCTTATTCTTTGCAGGATGACTTTGGAGAATACCTTATATATATTTGACAGCAGACTTATGGGTCTATAGTTCTCTATATCTTCTTTTTGACCTTTCTTGAATATAAGGATGATATGGGATGTTTTCCACGTGTGCGTTACCCCAGCAAAATAATGTCGAAAATGGTCATTTAAACTTTATAGATAATTAGTTGCTCCACTTCTGTAATTGTTAAGCACATTTTTAAATTTGTTTCACTTAAACTTTTTTAGTTATTTCAAAAAAACATTTCCTGCTGGGGTAACGTTTGAAACGTTACCGCAGCCAGACATTTTCTTTTTTAATTGTAATATTGAAATAAATTTTAGCTAGATAATTAGTTATCTGGACTAGGTAAATGTTACAACTTATTTGGTATTTGTATTTTCTTCGGCTGCGAAGTTATTCGAAATCCTGCTGGAGTAACGTTTGTGGGTTTGCTGGATCTCTGAAACGGGTTAGCGGATTGTAACCATCTTTTGTACATAACTTCTTAAGGATTAGTTTTAATTTGTTCGACAATAAAATAACAAAAATAATGGACCGTTTAAAAATTATTTAGGTAAGTATGAAAACACTTCAATACGTCCTAACACTTTAAATAAGACCTCTAAAGACTTACTTGAAACGTTATTCTATTGCTTGTAACTACCTTCAAATGTATACGAATTTTCGTAAGAATACTGTAAGTGACTAAAAAGTTATGATGAAATGTAGCTCTCCACGTTCACGATCACAATGTGTGCGGCCTTTTTTGGCCACCGATAAACCTGTGTGTGGATATATAAACTGAATGTTATGCATATAATTAGTTGTTTAGTTCAGTTGTCTACCTGTAAAATTTCAACGTCGTACATATAATAATTTACGAGATAATTAAATAAAAGTCATTAGAAGGTGCAAGACCGTGGTAACCCGACCATGTTTAGGTGGTTACAAAAAAGCGATCACCCAGTACATTGTGCTGGCTTTTAAAATATGTAGGATATTATTTGCAAGTTTACTACGGATATGTACATAAGTGTTACAAAAAACTACATGTTTTTTAAATATTTTTTATTTAGGATTGTTTATTGCATAATTAGTAATCAGCCGGGAGATTAGGTATTGTTTTGAATGCTTTTGTTTTCTCGTAATGTTTAGGTGAATTGTTTATAGTTGTTCATAGAATTGGTACCTGCGTAGTATTTGTTAATTGAAGTTTAATTTTAGGGTAGGTATAGGTAATTTAAGAAATATGAAATGAAATGAAATGATAAGTTTTGAAGAGTGTAACGTATGCGTTGTAAATAGGTATTTTGTGAATAGATGGGAATTTTTTTAAGTGATGAATCGACTTAGGCTAGCATATCGCGAACAAACTCTGTATTGCATTATTTCTGTAATAATGTTGGAGAAAATAAAATATTTGATCAGAAAATCGCGGTGAGTTAAATTATAATAAAATAAATTATTTATGTAAAATTAGTAATAAGTTGATATACCTACCTAAAAGTTATTATCGTTTTTAATTTGTTCACCCTGAACGAAATTTCAATATTAGCATTAGTAATTAATATCCTAAGACAAGAATTGACAATTACTTAAATTGAATCGAATTAGCATTAATGCCTATTATTAGTAATTAGGTACACACATATTGAAGAACTCTCAAGAATACGTTAAATATTTGCAAAAATAGAAAGCGGAAGCGCACACGTACTTTAACAACACGTATATTATCTGCCTAAGGGTCAAGTTTAGTGCACTAGATGCAAATTGAAAACAATGAAGTATCCCTTCGCCCCTCCCCTCCCGCGTTCTAGCGAAGGATGTATTATCAGCGATTCTTGATTGACAAATATTATCTGACCAATAATTTTATCTATAAAAATGTATCTCTTTCACTCGATAAATTAAATTACCGTTATTATATCAAAATATCATTCAACAACTGTTCGTTTTTAACAGAAATCAACAGTCACGGGCTCAACGCTTAACGGTAGGTACATAGGTATAGATAATTCTCGGTTCTAGGTATAGAACACAGAACAATATTACCTACTCTTACGGATATACGACTGTTGGGCGATGCAATGTTGATGCATTCTAATTTACAACTGTATTCTTCTACTATTCGGTCTATTTTAACTTATTGTAGATGACTTGTTGCTTTTAATATTTTGATGCATTCAAGTCTAAGCTCTATACACCCCAAAATAAAATACAATTACTTTAGTGTTATTTCTTTACAAAAAAAAAAAAATCGTTTTATTGCAGTCAGGTGATTCGTTCATACATGTATCTACATATTTATAATTTTAGCGGACCAGTGCAGATTTTCTGTTGATTGTAGCTCCGGTAGTAAAAAAGACTAAATAAATTTTAAGTAAAGAAACTAGTGCTTAAGATCAATCAAGGTAATAATAATGAATAAATATTAAATGTATTTAACACTGTACGCAACTGTACCGAAATCGTAAGGTGTATTACACTAAACATTTTAAAAGACAGCGCAATGTACTGGGTGATCGCTTTTTTGTAACCACCTAAACATGGTCGGATTACCACGGACTTGCACCTTCTAATGACTTTTATTTACTTATCTCGTAAATTATTATATGTACGACGCTGAAATTCTACAGGTAGACAACTGAACTAAACAACTAATTATTGGCATAACATTCAGTTTATATATCCACACACAGGTTTATCGGTGGCCAAAAAAGGCCGCACACATTATGATCGTGAACGTGGAGAGCTACATTTCATCATAACTTTTTAGTCACTTACAGTATTCTTACGAAAATTCGTATACATTTGAAGGTAGTTATAAGCAATAGAATAACGTTTCAAGTAAGTCTTTAGAGGTCTTATTTAATGTGTTAGGACGTATTGAAGTGTTTTCATACTTACCTAAATAATTTTTAAACGGTCCATTATTTTTGTTATTTTATTGTCGAACAAATTAAAACTAATCCTTAAGAAGTTATGTACAAAAGATGGTTACAATCCGCTTACCCGTTTCAGAGATCCAGCAAACCCACAAACGTTACTCCAGCAGGATTTCGAATAACTTCGCAGCCGAAGAAAATACAAATACCAAATAAGTTGTAACATTTACCTAGTCCAGATAACTAATTATTTAGCTAAAATTTATTTCAATATTACAATTAAAAAAGAAAATGTCTGGCTGCGGTAACGTTTCAAACGTTACCCCAGCAGGAAATGTTTTTTTGAAATAACTAAAAAAGTTTAAGTGAAACAAATTTAAAAATGTGCCTAACAATTACAGAAGGGGAGCAACTAATTATCTATAACGTTTAAATGACCATTTTCGACATTATTTTGCTGGGGTAACGCACACGTTTTCCACTGCATAGGTATTTTTCCCGTGTCCATTATTTCGTTAAATATTGTTGTCAGTATGGGCAATAGTTCTTCAAGAGTGCCTTTAAGGAGTTCGTTCATAATTTTGTCTGGCCCTGGAGCTTTCTCCATCTTCTGACTATAAATAGCTTTTTCTATTTCGCTAGTGTGGAAGCCACCTCAGCAAAGAAATTCTCCCAAAAATACTACCTAGCGAAATAGTAGGAAACTAAGTAAAAAGTAATTCTAACAATGCATTATGTTCATTCCTTATAGTACAAGAAATAATATTTGTTTGCCTGTTTGTCTAGTGGTTAGTGACCCTGACTGCTAAGGTTGTGGGTTCGATTCTCACCCAGGCAAAATATTGTGTGATGAGCACGGTCATCTGTTCTGTCTGGTTGTAATTTATCTATAATATGTATTTATTTATAAATGTATAAGTATCTATATTAGCAGTCTGGTTACCATAGCACAGGATCTGCCTAGTTTTGGATGAGACGGCTGTGTGTGAGATGTGTGAGGTTTATATTACTATTATTAAGTAATGTTGTTTATAGTTAATGAGACTTATATGATTCCCACAGGTTGACCACAGTATTTCTTTATTATTAGTTGTCTTATTAGATTAGTGTCTGCATTGATAGATGTAACATACAAATCATAAGTTAATAAAAATAGCAAATAGAGAGTCAGTAGGTAATTTTAATCAAATAGAATTAATGCAATGACCGAATGGCATAGTAGTTTGTATAGCGGACTGCTATTCCAAAGGTCGCAGTTTTATTTCCCGCTTAAGTCAAAGATTTGTGTGCATGAACATTTAACGTTTGATTTAGTCTGGTTGTTTCTATTTATAATATGTATATATTAAAAAAAATTATATATTTGCCATATACATTATTTCCAAAAAATTGGTGTATGAAAAATTGATGTTGGTCAATTTTCAGACCTACCCGATATGCACACAAAATTTGCTTAGTTTGGGACTAGTAGCATTGTGTAAATGTGATAGAATATTATTTTAATTAATGCTGTTTTGCTATTTAGTCATCAAAATACACCAATAAACTATGACATACCTGACAAACATTAGGAAGATCAGCATTTAGAAGAGCCAGGCCTTTAACAGCATAATATAGGGATGCAATGTCTTTGCTTTTCACATTCTCCTGAAGGATTGTCTGCAGACGCTTCAAATCTATTGTACCTTGTAGAGTGTTAGCATTGCTTACTGATAATAAGCTTATCAACAATAGGAACCCACCTGTGTATACCAAAATTTAATTGTTATAATTTTTTAGTTTATTTTTTTATGATAGAAGGGTCAGACGAGCACCGGTCACCTGATGGAAAATGACCATTGACGCCCATGAACGTCTGCAACTCAGGAGTCACAAACCCAAGAGCAAGATACTTTATATATTGTTTCAAATTTTGCAAATAGTTTTTCCGAACGATAGATTCTAAGTATAGTGATAGACGATAGTAAATAACCTGCAACATTGTACGACCGGGCCTGCATAACACTGACGTGTCCTTTCCGTGTTCATGTAAATATACATTTTATGTATCAATGCAAGGGAAAATCTAAAGAAGTATCATTAATACAACTATAACGGAAAAAGGAGACAGTAGATAACTTAAAAATACTGAATTAAGATAAATTTGGGTGCCACGCAAATGCTATAAGCGTAGTGTATGAAACTAGAAAAACCTACCCCGTAAATACATTTCAAAGAATTCTTAATGCAGAGTAATCTCTGTTTCTTTTCTAAACTCTTGATCTCATTAAATAATAATCCAATTGTTTCAATAAATAATCTGATTAGGTCCGATCGCCGGTTCTGACAAACGTAGTTGACATAAAATCATCGACGTAGCATAGCATTCTGATTTATTTAATGTTGCCAGAGAAAAAAATGTAAATTAGACCAACGCCTTGCAATGGCCATTGACTAGTCGATTTGACACAGAAAGTGGTTCTTGTTTTTATCACATCACTAAAAACGTCAGTGGTAGCAATAAAAAAAAACTTGACAGATAGGGACCTGCCTATCCTTCCACTTCCATTTTTAAAAAAGATTTTGATTAAACTTCAATTGTTTTGATTAATTAACAAAATGGCAAGTTTAGTCGCCAAGGTCCCGGTTCTCATTAACAGTAAGTATTCACATTTAAGAGTTAATCTAATTTCGGTGTATTCTATTTATTTTAGTGTTATTATGTAATTCTGATGATTTTGAAGGTTAGGTGATCAATAATTTGTTGTAACATTTATTAGATTTGCTTTAACACCTTAGAGATGCAGTAATACCTGTCATCATGTGACAGGAATCTGTCCTAATTATTAGACAGAACTGTCTGTAGATATATTAGTCAATTAACTTGTACATTTTTTTTTCAGCGGCAATTGCGCAGGGTCGCCCAAAATTCAACATCTTTATGAAGTACGCTCGAGTTGAGCTGGCTCCCCCCAAGCTCAGTGAAATTCCTCAAATTAAAGCTGGCATTGGTAAACTATTGAGTAGTGCAAAGAGTGGTGCATGGAAGGATCAAACTGTAAAGCAGGCTACCCTGAACGCGCTTGTTGGCGCTGAAGTCCTATTCTGGTTCTATGTAGGAGAGTGCATCGGCAAACGCCACATTGTTGGATATAATGTATAAGATCTTGTTCATAAGTACTAACACTGTAGATATTATGATCAGCAAAATAAATTATTAAATCTTCATATGTTTTATTATCATTATATGCAAATTGATAATTATGCACCTGATTATACATTTTTTGGACTATAGGAAGAATATGTTAACAAAACCATTATATTTGTTCACACATAAAAGAAATGGATGTTTTCTGCAATAGGGATGTCCATCAGTGTCTAGCTTTTATCTACAAGAGGCCCACTGTGAAAATATTCAGTTGCCCACATTATACTAAGACATTAATGGCTAATTTATATTAAATAAAACAAATGATTTAGGTTTCATAACTACAATGTTATATTAAGCCTAAATAAATATAAAACTATATTACAATGGTGCACACTGTTCCATAAATTTATAAGGATTTGAGGCACTAGTGAACTTTAGTTCCATTTCAATTTCAGTAGGTCCTCGCAGCCATAATCTGTCCCTGTAGTAACTTACGCACGTCATAAACTCTTTGTCTGAGTATCTGTTTATTTGTATTGGCACAAAAGGATCAAGATGCTCAAAGCCCTGCAAAAGAGAGAAAAATGATGTAAATACATAAAATTATAAATTAGCAAAAAAATTATCAATACATTTCAAATGATTACAGAAGATGACATAGGTACAGTAACCAATTCATAGGGATAATAGAATACCTATGATGACAATTATAAGACATGACATTAAAAACATGCTCCAAGGTGGCATAGAAGAGATAAGGATAAAACTAAGCAATAATTTGGTCCACATAAGGTAAATTAGAAATTTTGACATTTTAGGATACTGTTAGGGCAGCATAAATCACTCGAATAGGCACTTCTGCCAACCAATATCCTGTTTTAACCGAGTTTGTCTTTTATTAATCAAGTTTAAAGCTGAAAATTTATGTCTTTCACACACATACCAACAAATATTTTTGTCTCTCTTTGGTTTTATATGATATAACACTTTCAACTTTTCTCCATCTGTTTTCGATTTTTTATAATGCTCCTTCAAGTAAACCATCCATCCATCTTTTTTTTTTTATATCCTTTGATTAGGAGAATTGGGAGAAAACTTACATTTCATTCAAAAATAAATATATAAGAAAATAAATTATTACTTTTTAAACGAACTAGATTTAATTGTTGCCAGAAACAAATAATATATAGAGCTTAAAAATGTGCACTTTGCTCTTTTGCAAAATGCAACTTTAGGAAGGTTATTAGATGCAGGTATCTTCTGATGACTGGCTTAAGGCTTGATTTTACCTGGATAAGAATGTTTGCTTATGCATACCTTTTTGTACAACAGATATCTAGGAAGGTAACTTTCGTGATGCTCCTCGGGCACAGACAGTTCGTCTGCAGTTACTACAATGACGCCATTTTTCTGTAAAAGTAAAATAATTAAAATCAATTTAGTTGGAAAATAACCTTCACAAATTTAATAGTATTCGAAAGAATCAAGAAACGTCCCTCTGGATTTGATCAGAAGAAATAATGTTATATTTTATAGTATTATTGTTACTTTAAACTGTCTCTTCTGCAAATAGGGCGCCAACCGCAAACAAAAAACCAACTAATAACAAAGATTAGTTAGTTCTTGCTAGCTTGCAAGCTATTATTAGTTAGTAATTAGTTCGACTCCAACATCGACTTAATGTTATTTAGGACATTTTGGAACTTAACCCTTACATTTAAAAATAAGAATAAAATTAACATTCTTCATCGAATACTTTGAGTTTAAAATTATCTCCTTGCAATATTTTCCTAAGTGATCACAGTTTAGAGTTTATCAATATATGTTTAAAATATTATAAAACATCTACCTCCACCACAGCTATTACGACTGTGTCCAGGCGTCTAGTTTAAAAAACAGAGGCAGGATTTGATGACAGAAGTGAAAACTCAAAACAATTGAATTACGCGTCGCTAGTCTGGCGCAAAACGTCACGAGCGTGTCGAGGTCATCAGTGACGCTAACCCGTAAGATTTCTCCCTACCAAAAATCGCTCAACGCGGCTAAAAAAGTATTCACTTCAAAAAAATATTATTACTTTAGTTTCAGTCATAGGACAGTTTAAAGTTCTATTTGTTAGAACTTAGTATCAGTAGACTTACCCAATCATTCTTAGTAATTTTCATGAAGCTTGACGTAAGTGTTACTTCATCAGGTTCCACTTTTCTTTTAGTAGGCGTATTTAGTCGCGTCAACGGGTAGAAGAAACTGTTAAAACCATCTATCGCCACAAATGTTTTACACCTACAAATAGTTGAACACTCATTTTAGCTTATAAGGAGTAGGTGATAAAAGCAATGAAAATTAATATTGTTTATCCTCACAGTTTTTTTTAACGTTATATATATATTTATAATATATAATATATTATTTATAATAACTTAATGCATAAGTTGTACACAATCGGACTTAATGCCCAGGGCATTCTCTGCCAGTTGACCGGGTGATGTAGTATATTTAGGGTGTTATATATATTTGAATAGAAAAATACAATTAATACCTTTTTTCTCTTTGGTTTGTGAACAGATTTTCCTGTTTTTTGTTAAGGACCTATATTTTAAATAATGGTAATATTTAGGGGCGAAATTGAAGACAATGAGCAAACACTAGCGTTATTGAAAAATATTGAACTTACTGCTTATTATTAGAAAGTATTTTTATCTCGTCAACAAGAGCGTCGATGACGTCACAGGCATACTTCACTCTATTGATACCAAGCTCCACTAGGTCCGACAGTGGAGAACCAACTTCGGTCTTTTCGCGTTTACTCCATACATACTCCTTGTTTGTCTTTAACTGTGGACAAAATACATTATATTGAAACTTGACAAAAAGTAGTAGCAGTTTAATAATTTTTTTTACTCAACTTAAAAAAAAGGAGATTAGTAAACCAAGAAAATAAATTTAAAAGGTGTAAAGAAGGAAGTGATAACCAGTATGGATAAGATCCGCAACGAATACATACGAGGAAGCCTGGGAGTCCGCGACATTGCGCGGAGAAGCTGCTAGAGTGTAGGATGTGGTGGTATGGACATGTCAGGAGGAGACCACCTGATTACGTTGGAATCCAGGCACTAGAACTATCCGTTGCCGGAGCACGCGGTAGAGGAAGACCCAAGTGTTGCGAAGAGACCTGAAGGCATGCAATGTTTCGGAGGACGACGTCAGGGACAGGGCGAAGTGGCAGAAGTACACGAAGAGGGCGGACCCCAGCACCATGTGGGACGAACAGTCAGGAAGAGAGAGAGAAAGGAGGAATTTACATGTACCGACAGTGATAAGGGAGCTAAGGAAAAAGATGCATAAAGTCTTGGATGGTGAAACAGGACAGTACAGACTGGGATTGTACCCTTCTGTCTTTCCTGCGATGGGGGCATAATTGAGACAGGGACTACTTAGGATTAAAGCTCTTATGTGTGCTAATGTACATCTCACATTTCCACTCTTCAGTAGTTTCTGGTTTTGACTCTTGAAGTGGATGAGCCAAGCCGCCGCGTCGAGCGGTAAGTCGACTAAACCTTCGCGTGTTTGAGAGTTTGACATCTCCTTGTGGCGAGTTATTCTTCGTAGCCATTCAGAAACTGGAAAAGAAGTGTGTATAAAAAAATACAGTAAGAGTATTTATAGATTTTTCATGAACGTCACATCACATCAACAGTCTATGACAGTCCACTGCTGGACATAGGCCTCCCCTCTGAAAGGAGGTATTGGCCTACTTTACCACGCTGGCCAGACGGGTTGGTATAGTTTGGTGGGGTTTTCATGAACACTTTATTTAAATCTCAGTGTTAATGAGTGAAAAATTATGTTGTTGGTGTATTAAAATATCTAAAGAATTGGTATTATAAGTGTAGACAAGGGTTTTTAATTATTATTTTTTACTAACAATAAACATTGTCATCTTTACATGATGGAATATAAGGTAGATATCCCGGTAGCATTCAAGCAATAACCGTGGATAAAAGTTAGTATTTTTTGTGTTATAAAAATATAATTTTAATCTTATAATTCCTTTTAGTTGCATCACTTCACAACTTTTAAATTTGCAGAAGTTCTAACTTATAACTAACAAAAATAGACTTACCCCACGGTACATGCACAATCAAGAAGCCGTCTTCATGAGCATAATGCAGGAGATGTGCCAAAGTCAGAGACTTGCCGGTACCCTTCTCGCCATCTAGTGTAGTGTTAAGGAACCTTAGTACAAGTTTATAAATGTGTTTAATATACATCAATTTGATGTACACATTAATGCAAATCAATACGAATATTATAAATGCAAAGTCACTCTATCTGTCTGTTTTTTATGCTTTCATGGCTAAAGTACTTAAGCAATTTCAATGAAATTTGGAGTGGAGATATTTTTATTGTTGAGGAAGGGCATAGACTAGTTTTTACCGCGATAAACGACATACGTGTGGGCGGAGCGGCGGTATCTATATATGTTTGATGCTAGATGCTATAGAGTATACCCAAACAAGGCACTCAAAAAGAATTTTGAGTGTCTGGTGTTCCCATAAATGTGCCAAGTAATGGGTGCTCATAAAACTCGAACTACCCTTTACCACCCACAGTCTGATAGAATAGCTTCTCAGGAACACTATAATTTTTAAGCAATTACAGATGTGAGATTATGTGAAGACTTAATGACAATTATTTATTAACAGGATAGAGTGTCTTTTGTTATATGTAGTTTACTGGTTGCCTGTATATGCCTCTTAGTAAGTACAGACACTCTAAAATTAAAAATGTTTTAAGTTCTAAAGTCTTTTGTCAATAGGTTGTACAAACAAGTGACATTAATCCCACAGCATCTAAAACTGTGGCCTTTGGCAGTTTATATTATAAAAGGATACAAAGTACATAACGGATAGCTGGTTGGTCCATATCACTAGCTCTAATACAATTGATGAGGTCCAATGCTGGTTGTCGCACCATTATAGCAGTTTCCGTGAAGGTCTTGGTCTGTTTCATAAAGCTTTTAGGGAAACCTCCATGACTAAACAGCTGCTTGCACAAGTCTGGGTTTACTGTGTAAAATAATCCCACCTGTTTATCATTTTGTTGTGCCTGAAATAGTAAAAATGTAAGTATATCTAATTTCTGACAACATGTATAAAAAAATTAAACAATAATATTTTAGTAATCACACAACCCCATCTAGTTTCAAACTAAGCAGAGCTGGTACTATGAAAACTTGATTGACTGATGGAGTACTTATATATTTATTTTTTGTAAATACATGCATATTATCGATCAAAGTGGTGTGTAATGGGAGAGGCCTATGGCCAGCAGTGAACTGCGTTGGTATGATGATACATTTAGTCCGACGCAGGAATCAAACCCGAGACCGCAACACAGAAATCGCATACACTGCACCATCGAGGCAGTTGATATTAAAATAGTTGTGTTATATTACACGTTTCATACAAGGGAGAGTTCTTAACATTCTGAGAAAGAACATCCAGGGAAGGAAATCTATTACATACAAGATGTATGTGTAATACTGTCACAGTATTACTGTGGAAGAGCCATGCTTCAGCACAAATTGGCAGGCTCAACTGGATTATCACTACAGTGGTATCCCCCTGTCTTACAGAAAACCAGCGTTTAGCAATTCTTTCCTATCTTTTCACTGAGTGAGGTTACCAGAGCCTAAAACCTCTTCCCCCTTCCTGTCCATGGACGGGGGTAGTCACCACCATAAAAAAATGACGTCTGAATTCAGCAAAAGACTAACAAAAACGTCATGCTTTACATGAATGGAAGCACATTATTTTGATTGGTCTTGAAGATTTGAAAATAGTTTTAAAAGATTATCAAATTTGATCGTCTTTATTTATTTTCAAATCTTCAAATTCTTATGAATTTTTGGTCTGCGATCGAACTTACAGGTGAGTTTTCATTGGTCCTAAATGTAACGGCCTGAGAATAACGACGGCATAAATGCCTCCAGTTACGAGATAACATTTTGGACAATATTGTTAATGAAGAACAAAACAGCGCCAATAAGTAAAAATTTAATCTTTTTCAAAAACCAAAATCACAACATAACCTCAATGACAAAATGTCAAATTGAAATTGACTAAATGAAATGCGTTCAGGAATGTGCCTGGTCTAATTTTATTGTTGTTTTCTAAACAGCAAGATTGTTTTTTTATAGATTTTTTATTGCAAATATGTTTACCATTTTAAAAGTACCTCTCTAGTCTCTCCTCTAGTAAGATGGATTTTATGAGTAAGGATGTGGCTAGAAAGGGAGTAAACAGTGAGATGATGAATGATGGAGTAGAATGGAAGAATCATACTTACTGCGTCGACCCCAATTAAAATTGGAATAACCACTTGGATGATGGTGCACTTGGCACTGCACCATCATCTGCCTACCCAGATGATGGTGCAGTGCTATTAAAGAGACGCTGTATTAAATTAATCTTTGTGGTATTCTTCTAATACTGACCGGTAGTCGCCAGTAGCGTTGACTTTAAACTTGGGGAAAATTATTTTCTGAAATAACCCATATTTATAATTCTTTAGTATAGCTGAATCTCGCAGATGGCACGTTGCGAAGCTTAAGGGAAACAAGGCAGATTTACGTAGAACCTAGATGCAGGAGCTGAATAATAATAATAACTTCACACATCTCACACATGGCAGTTTGGTCCCAAACTAGGCAGAACCTGTACTATGGTGACCAGACTACTGATAAACATATATTTCTAATATTTATATTAATAATCATACATTTCTAAATACATGTTTATTATAGATAAATTACACCCAGGCAGAACAAACGATTTTGCTCATCACACAATATTTGTCTTGGGTAGGAATCGAACCCAAGACCTCCAGCTTAGCAGTTAATTTCGACTGATAACTTTACATGTTTTCGAAAAGGTAAATAAAACAGGTGATTATGGCACTAGTGACCAGTGTGTGATACTTTATGTAGTATAGGGTCTTTCCTAAGTAATAGATCCGCTAATTAAAGGTAGCTCTGGAAGCAGGCTATAAGAAAATTGAAATTTCATGTCAGGGTTTTCAACTGTGTGAAAATGTTGAATACATAGTAGGGACATAATTGAATAAAATAATACCTGTCTCCAGAAGTATGATACAAAAAAAAGGCAAATGGCAAGCAGAACGAATGAGCAAAGTAGAAAAACTTTTTTTTTTAATTTTCACAGTTGACAACCCTGACATGAAAATAGGCTTTACTTAAGGCCTGGCACCAGGGCTACCTCAAATTAAAAGGGGTATCCGTTACTAATGACATACCCTTTATACCCTTTACAACTGTGAATGCCTTAACACCAAACATTATAGATTATAAAATAGAAAATAAATTGTGAATAAATAGAAGAATTAATTTTTCTCAAAAAAAGTTTTGAACAAATAAAACTGACATGATATATCTATTTGTTTTATCATTTATTTTGCATCCTTTTCTTTTTAAATAAACTTATGGGTTTTGTTTCTTTTTGTATTTTGTTATTATTTTGCCCCACTTTTTCTATAATATCTTTTACAATAATTGTTGGTGTTTCCCGCACAGGCTGTTGAGTCTGCACCCGTGTTGTCTTTTTAACTTCGTCCACTGGCTTTGATGTAACTTTGTCAGGTTCTAAATCATCACTTGCATACTTTGACTTTTTAAGGATAGATGTGATACCATTCCCGAAAAGATTAGCATGTGCTTCATAAATATCACTGGGTTTCTGTATACCTTTCTGTGGATCATAAGGTTCATTATTTGGTGCTACTTTACTATGTTTAAAAGTTAAGTTTAGAGTTTCACAGTCATCATCGTCCACAAAAGAAACTCTTCGTTCCAGCTTGGCTGCTTCAGATTTACTGGTTTCCTCCTCTTCACTAACCTCAACATCTTCATTTTCAATTATGTCATCTAGTCTGAAAATAATAAAAACAATTATTTTGCTTAGGATTGAGAATTAAGGTTAGAATTACCTGTGTCGATATCAGAGATCAACTGATGGTTGGTTTCTTCCATTCTTAAACTGTCTCTGTGTATATATATGTAACATAACAGACTATCTTTTTTCTGATGGTCTGTGCATATACAAGTTGGAGATTATAGAAATTTATTTGCTAGCATTTATTACTTTATAAAAATCTGTACAAAGTATGCCTAGAATCTATGTATTAATATATACTGTATATTAATACGGCTGTGTAAGATTTATCATCACCCATAAATATAAGATCATTATATTTATGGGTGAAGCTAAATGGATGGTAAACAAATCTTAACTTAATTTCTCAACAATTTGGTTATGTACTGTTTGCATTGTTTACAAATTACAATAAATCAACTTGATTCAGGATCTAGGGGTGGTAATTTTTTGAAATTTGATTTGGGATCAAATGTAAAGGATTTTTTACTATATCAGGTTTATAAATGGCAGAGTTACGAGGAACACCTCGTTATTTGAAGTCAGTTAAAAATTATAATCCTTACCATCTAGTTAATTTGGACAGATGAATTTCTATTACTTAAGACCTACCTTCTTATTTTTTTTTCTACCTACCTAAATACATATTATCTTATTTAGAATTAATGTCCTTTGTCTACCTTATTACAGTGATTTTAGGTGGTACATAGGTATAAGCAGATAAATGGCTAAAAATACACTAGATTTCAGTATACAATTGAAATTTTCAAATGTTAGTTTGAGTTTCAGCCGACACTGAAACAAGAGCTGAATGTTCGGTTTTAGTAAAAAAAACCTGTTTAACCTGACACTAACTATAATGTACACTTGATATACCTGTCCATTTCATCTTCAAGTTCGTCCAGTTGTTCCAGTTCATCTAACCTGGATATTAAATCTTGTTTAGTTTTGCATTGACTCCTTTCTCTGTTTTTAAGTTCATGCAACTTTTCGTCCAGGTCGTTCTGCCTGTCTATAACTTGCTGAAGTAAATCTAGTTTTGACCGTTGTTCAGGAGCTTTAGATTCATTGTAAGAAACATTTTTATTATTAATTTCTTTTTGTAACTTTACTTCATCTATATTATGATTTGGTTCTCCTTTCATTTTACTGAAATTCAGATTATCTTCTTCCTTTACAACTAAAGGTTCTACTTTCTGATCCTTTACTTTTGATAGATTAAAATTGTCATCATTCATATTATTTAGTTCACTTTGCAATTCTTCTTGTAGTTCCAGTTCTTCTAATCTTTCAAATAACTCTTTATCTGTAACATCATCTTTATGGTGTTCATTTTCTTTTTCTTTTGCTCTCCTTTGCATATATTCTTTTACATTTTGTATATGTTTTATCCTCCAAGCTTTATCTTCTACCTCTGTGTGGTATTCTATTATTTCTTCACCTTGCTCTTCATATACATTTAGTTTGGTAAAGGCTATCTGATTTTGTAGGTAATCTCTTTCTTTATTGTATGCATCAACCTTCTCCTGTACCACTGAAATAAAAAAAAAGGTACATTAGAAGTTTATGGTAATAAGTAAAAACTTTTGCAGTCAATTTAATTACAATGTGTAATATTACCCCTTATTCTGTGCTGCCTGAGTATTTCTGCTTGTGCCAAAGAGCATTTCGCAAAGTAATCGGCACCAAGAGCCACGGTTATTTCGTTAGTATGTTTAAGTTCGCCTTTAAACAATATTCTGCTTCCTATTGGCACAAGGACAGGAACTTTAAGCTTATCCCTATATTCATTAAAATTTAATGATTTGAGATTTTGTAAATACTCATCCCAAAACTGTAGATTCCGTTCGTTCTCGGTTACACTCTGAGAACAAAAATGAAGGACTATTAATGTGCTGAAAATCTATAAAATACGTCAGAATTATAACAATTACCTTATAATATAATTCACTTAACATATCCATCGCTAACTATATTAAATAAACGTAACTTTAACTAAAATAAAGCGATGATAAATTTATTTCTTTACACTTAATAATTCTTGACTTGACTTGACAATACTTGACAGTCTTAGGCTAGGGAAAATAATATCGAAAAATAGATTTATCGATGTCGAAATATATTATATTTAATACTAACAATTTAACTAACTACGAATAATTTAAAAGATAGACCAGATATTTCTTATTTTTATAACTTTATTTATTTAGATAAGTATAATAATAAACGCCTTAATAAATACCGATCAATTATATCTACTAATTACCTACCACATGGTAACAAACCACCAAATATCGAAAATAATGTAGATTTTACGTTGATATTACTAATTCAAAAATGTTAGCTTTCTGTAACTAGTTGTAGGTACATATATAGTACTTACGGCACAGGTATGTGAGAAAACAAAAATAAAAGTTCGTTTCGGAGGTAGAAAGACGAAATTAATTTAATATATAGAACACACATACACCAAAGAAGGTCAGTTAAAAAGTACCACAAAGATAGAAGGAGCAAGTAGGAAACGATAGCACAATAGATTAAAACAATTTACACAATAACAATTAATATTATTCGCGACACGACAACGCGTACGGAGCGGGGCAGTGGTTAGACGGGCGACGCGAGTTACAAGCGCTGGCGTTCGTGGCCGACTAAGGAGCCTCGCGTGAGCGTGGGGCTGCGCTAGCGCATTCTTGTGGTTACAGCGGTGCGCCGCGCTCAAAGCAGAGGCGCCCGCGCGAGTAAGTGTTCTATAGTGGTTAATGTATGTATTTGTGTATGTATATATATATATATAATTTTGGCATATATTATAAATATTGGTGTATGAATAGGCTACATCACTCCCCCCCAGAGACCGTCACTACGGGCGATAAAAATCAGGAAAGCGCACTGTGCGGCCTGAGCGCGTCCTTCTAACGTCATCCCGAGCTGGGGCAGGATGCCTCATAGGAACAGGATCAGGTAGAGGAATGGGAGTAGGAGTAGGATTGGTATAGGGAGTGGTAGTGGTTATGGAGTCAGGACATGAGTCTTGTAGCACGTAGGCTGGCTTTAAGCGGTCTATCGATACTATAACATCTTTCCCTTTGATATCTAACTTAAAGGTTTTATCACCTCGACTGAGTACCCTATAGGGGCCGGTGTAAGGTGGCTGTAAGGCTCCGCGTAATGTGTCATCCCTCAAAAATACGTGACTTGAAGAGGCGAGGTCCTTGTATATAAAAACTTTGTCTTTATTGTGGCGTGATGCCGGTACGGGTTGCAATTTAGTTGCAAACCTTTGCAACCGCGCCGTGAAGTCCGATATATCGGTGTTGTGTTGAACCGTTCCCTGGAAAAACTCACCAGGTAGACGCAACGGTTCACCATACACCAATTCGGCTGAAGATGACCTTAAGTCGTCTTTAAAAGAGCTTCTTATGCCCAAGAGTACCAGGGGTAACATGTCTACCCAGTTGTTGTCAGCGTGGCACATAATGGCTGATTTAAGCTGGCGATGGAAACGCTCGACTAAACCGTTGCTAGAAGGGTGGTATGCGGTGGTTCTACGGTGTTTGAATCCAATCATTTTTCCCAAATATAGGAAAAGTGATGATTCAAACTGTCGGCCGCGGTCGGTGACAATATCTGTTGGACATCCAAACCTGGATATCCATGATATTAACGCCTTTCCAACCGTCTCGGCAGTCATATCCACCATTGGCACAACCTCTGGCCAGCGTGTATAGCGGTCTACAGCTGTAAAACAGTAGCGGTACCCTTGGGAAATGGGTAACGGACCAACTATGTCAACGTGAATAAATGCAAATCGCACGCGAGGTAAATCGAATGTCCCTAACGGTGAGGACACATGACGATGTACCTTGGCGCGTTGACATGCGTGACATTGACGTGACCACTCGCGACAGTCTTTGCGCACACCAGGCCAAACAAAACGCTCTGCTACCAGTTTAGCAGTTGCGTTGGCACCTGGGTGGCTAAGACTATGAAGACTGTCGAAGACTTGTCGTCTCAGTGGTTTAGGGACAAAGGGTCTAGGTGAGGGAGTACTGACGTCACAGTATAGTTGTGATTGAGAGTCAGGGATCCTCATTCTCACCAGACGATGTGAAGATTCTTCACCTAAAAACTGATTTAGCTCCTGATCAGCAGCTTGGGATGAAGCCAAGACATCCAAATCGACTGGTATCTGCAGTTCGGCGACACGAGACAGTGGGTCGGCGACGACGTTGTCTTTACCAGAAATATGCCTGATATCTGTTGTAAACTGCGATATGTAGTCGAGATGGCGGAACTGTCGAGGCGAGCAATTAGCTTTCCTTTCGCTGAAAGCAAAACTAAGCGGCTTGTGGTCAGTGTATACTACGAAATGCCTTGCTTCCAACATGTGGCGGAAGTATTTGATGCTTTCGTAAATGGCCAAAAGCTCGCGGTCGTACGGTGAATATTTTTGCTGAGAGGGACTCAACTTTCGGGAGAAAAATGCTAAAGGCTCCCATAATCCGTCTACAAATTGCTGTAGAACTGCACCCATTGCCAGGTCAGATGCGTCTGTTACTAACGCTAGTTCTGCTTGACAATTAGGGTGAGCCAGTAATGCGGCGTTAGAGAGGCTTTCCTTGCATTGGTTAAAGGCTGACAAGGCCTCGCCGGAGATATCAACCGGGTGGGAGGCTTTAACAGAACCAGCGAGGAGAGCATTTAAAGGGGCCTGAACTGCAGCGAAGTGAGGCACGAAACGCCTGTAAAAATTGAGCATCCCTAAAAATCGTCTTAGTTGTCGGACGGTTTTGGGCAGAGGGAAGTCCTTAATAGCCTGGACCTTGGACTCTAAAGGTTTAGTACCAGCTGCTGAAATATGGTATCCTAAAAAGGTTACTTCGCTAACGCCAAAGACGCATTTGGAAGTGTTAACTAGGACACCGTATTCCTTCATTCGGCTGAAGAGCTGATGGAGGTGAGCTTCGTGGTCTACCGCATTTTTAGAGAAGACTAAATAATCGTCTAAGAATGGGTAGCAAAAATCTAAACCTCTAGTCATTTCATCTACAAACCTCTGGAAAGTTTGCCCAGCATTGCGCAAACCAAAACTCATGAATGGAAATTCGAACAGGCCAAAGGGTGTGGTTATGGCTGTTTTAGGAATATCAGCTTCATGAAGTGGTATCTGATTAAAAGCTTTTGTCAAATCGATGGTAGAAAATATTGTACAACCAGAAATAGAGTGGGAAAAATCGTGGATGTGCCTAATCGGGTAACGGTCTGGAATGGTCCGTGCGTTGAGCATACGGTAATCGCCACAAGGGCGCCAGCCATTATCCTTCTTAGGCACTAGGTGTAGGGGTGAGGCCCAGGGACTTTCAGAAGGACGGGCCGTCCCATTGTCCAACATAAGCTGAAATTCCTGTCTGGCAATTTTTAGTTTATGTGGTGCCAGTCTGCGGGGAGTACATGATATAGGAGGACCAGGTGTAGTCCTGATGTGGTGTACTGTGTTATGTTTTACAAGTGTGGGTGTACCTGAAGGGCGTGTAATGTCGGGAAACTTACTCAGAATCTTGTGAAAACGCGTGTCGCCCGTCGAGACCTTAACAGAAAATATATTAGAACGAGCAATACAAGCATTAGTACAAAGGGTTGTAGTAGTATCCACTAAGCGTTGGTTGCGACAATCTACCATTAAATTATAGTGGCTTAAAAAATCAACACCTATAATTGGTTTTGTAACATTAGCTACAGTGAAGCGCCAAGGGAAATTGCGCCTTAAGCCTAAGTTTAAATTTAGATTAGTACAGCCAAAAGTATCAATTATTGAGCCATTAGCAGCGGTTAACTGGAAGTCTGTCTTGGCTCGACGTTCACTAAGCGCAGAAAGTGGGTAGACGCACAAATCACTACCAGTATCTATTAAAAATTGTGTATTGCTGCTGCGATCGGTAACGAAGAGGCGACCCGTTGAGGCGGGGCAGTCGTCAGTCGCCATTAGCGACTGCCCGTGGCTTTTCCCGCTTGCTTGTAGTCGCACGGCTTCAGGCACCTATGAGCCCGTGCTCCGAACCTCATATGGTACCAGCATACGGGTTGTTTCACGTAACTAGAGTTAGATCGCGTTCTACTACACGAGCTTGATCGCCGACGGTCGCGTGGCCTTCCGCGTTCAGCGGAACAGCAAGATGCACGAGTATGTTCCTCTAATTTTAAGGTGAGGTGCTGCACCATCTTCTTCAGCTCAGCAATCTCGTCAGACTGCCGGGCACTACCGTTCGAGGCGGCTGAGACGCTAGGTGGTGATGTCAGCTCCTGTATGCGATCAGCGAGGTCGGCTAATTGCTCCAGTGAGTGCGAGGTCTGGGACGCCAGCACAGTCTGGACACCGATGGGTAGCTGGTTACTCCAAATCTGTTTCACTATGTCTTCCGCCGCAGATGATCCGGCTAAGTCCTGAAGGTGTCGCAGGAATTGGGATGGCTTGCGATCACCAAGTCTCTCCTGCGTGAGCAACTGCTTCACCTTCGTTTCGTGCGAAGCTGACAGGCGTCGAAGAAGCTCAGTCTTGATCTTCTCGTAACGGTTCCTAGCGGGAGGATTCAGTATGACGTCCTTTACGGTTTTTGCATACTGAATGTCGAGCCTAGTCGTAACAGAGCTGAACTTCACGGCATCTTCTGTGATACCGAGACTCTCAAATTGGCTCTCTAGAAGCGCGAACCAAAGCTCCGGGTCCTCGGGTGAAAATTTTGCGACCTTCAGTACGACTTTAGTCTCACGACGGTCAGGTGACAAGTCGCGGCGGGGAGTCGCAGGGCGCATTTTCTTGATCCGCTTGGTGATGTTCTCCTCCACGGTACGTTCGGTGTTCGCGGAATCACTGCTATCAGTCATGTTCTTAGCGGGGTCACCAGTATAGTACTTACGGCACAGGTATGTGAGAAAACAAAAATAAAAGTTCGTTTCGGAGGTA